TCAGGGAGGGTGTAAGGAACGAACCATACAGGGAGGGTGTAAGGAACGAACCATTCAGGGAGGGTGTAAGGAACGAACCATTCAGGGAGGGTGTAAGGCACGAACCGTTCAGGGAGGGTGTAAGGCACGAACCATTCAGGGAGGGTGTAAGGCACGAACCGTTCAGGGAGGGTGTAAGGAACGAACTTGCGCTATCAGTGTAACGACCATTCAAGAAAAGGGGAGGGAAGGAATGAGAAGGGGGTATAGACCCATCTCCTGAACATGTTGCCCTTCACATCTCCTCACATCCCCCTCTCACCGCCTGACGCCGACGATGTACAGCCGCTGCGCTGCGCCTGCGGGCGGGCCACAGCCGAGCGGAGCACAGACCCATCACCCAGGGCGAGAGAGCCTAAACACCAGGGGTTGCCCTTCACATCACATCACATCCTCTCCTCACCTCCTCCCCTCCTCACCCTCCCTCCTCCACCTCCTCACCTCCTCACCTCCTCCCCTCCTCACCTCCTCACCTCCTCAACTCCTCACCTCCTCCCTCCACACACCACCACCCCTCACCTCAATCTGCCGGCATCCCCCGCTCATCTCTTCACGCCGATGTACAGCCGCTGTGCCTGCAGGAGACACAGCCACGCAGAGGCCCGCGTCCCATACCCTGATTGCCTGTTGTTGCCCTTCACCCCCTCACCCCCTCACCCCCTCACACTCTGCCCCTCACCTCTTCACACCAATGTACAGCCGCTGCGCCTGCAGGTGCGCCACAGCCGCGCAGAGGCCCGCTTCCCTGCTCTCCCCGCGCTCCATGTGCGCCTCTGCTGCCACCTGGTGCGGGGCGAAGGGGGGAGAGAGGGGGTTGGAGGGGGGTGGGTGAGTGAGGTGTGTGTGACTTGACTCAAGAATCGCTGCTTCCCCGCGCTCCATGTGCGCCTCTGCTGCCACCTGGTGGGGGGCGGCGCAGGGGGGAGAGAGGAGGGGGGGAAGAGAGGCAGAAGGGGAGTGATTAATGGTTACCTGCTGTGCTGCCACTGCGCTCCATGTGCGCCTCTGCGCCCCTCTGTGCTGGGCGGAGGACGGCGCTACAAGTCGACTCACGGCTCTCACTACATATGGAAAAGAGGGAGGTAAGGGGGGAAGGGGGGGGGGAGAGGGAAGGAGGGGGAAGGGGAGAGGGAAGGGGGGAAGGGGGAGGAAAAGAGGAAAGAAGATAAAGACGAGTAAGGTGGTGGAATAGGAGGCGCCTCAGCAACCAGACTTCAAAACGGAAAGCTTATGGATGCAAGGGACAGCAGAGGGGACAGATGCCAGGCAGAACAGCCGGTTGTCAGGCAGAACAGCCAGTTGTCAGGCAGAATAGCCGGTTGTCAGGCAGAGGCACATGGGCATAGGTAGCAGACTCTGAGAAAGCAACTGCAGTGCAAGATTGAACTCGACTACAAAGCTGACAAACGTCAATCAGCCAGGCAGATGGATGTCAATCAGCCAGGCAGATGGATGTCAATCAGCCAGGCAGATGGATGTCAATCAGCCAGGCAGATGGATGTCAATCAGCCAGGCAGATGGATGTCAATCAGCCAGGCAGATGGATGTCAATTGGTCTACTTTGGTGTCACCTACGAGAGCACCACTGTCTCGGCGACAGAGCCCTTCTGAGTTTGTCAGAACCTCATTTTGCTTCATTTGTTTCTTTCCATAAAGGAAGAATAAATTGGTTGGCTATTTTTATCATTCACCAAAAAGGGTTTTGAGATGATGTGTTATTTTTCCAGAAACCGCAAAAGGTTTTTTTGAATCAGCTTACTCTTTCCCATTGTCGATAGGGTTTCTGAAATCGGTCATTTTTTCTCGTCTTCTTACCACACCCCGCGCCCTCTGAGAGTTCGTCTAAGCGGGCACTTTTAACGCACGACGCGTCACCAGCCTTGGGAATTTCGTTTCCCTCCTTCCCTCGGTCAGATCGAACCAGTTCCGTAAGGGCGACACCTCCTTCTGTAAATCACCGAATCTCAATTCTGCCGCACCGCTTTATCACCCTAAACCCTAATGTTTCCTGACATGGGGACTCGTATCAAAAGCACCTCAAGTCGGCAATGGCCACCACCACTAACGCACCAACGTCCCAGCAACACGGAAAGGACAACGTGGGGCTTTCGATCCGCAGAATCCATCCAACATACTGCCTTTCATAGCTATTAATCCCATACTGAATCGTTTTAATCTCGCCGTAGTTGCTGCGTTGCTATGGCCGCCAGACCTCCCTCGCTTCTACTTACGAACCTTTCCTTTACTCTTTCGAATGAATTCCGCGCTCACCTTCCAGCTCTCACCTTCCATAGCCCTCCCACACCCAGCCGTCCCTCCTTCCCGCCCCTCAGCCCCCCCGCGCCCTCTCCACCCTCCCCTCTCTCCGCCTCCCGCGCGCGCTCACCTTCCTGCTCTCCGCGATGGCCTGCATCGGCCGCACGACGCTGCGCAGAATCAGATCCTCCGTGTTGCCATGCCGCGCCCGCTCCTTGCGCTCCGTCGCGGCTGTCAGAGGAAAGAGAGGGCACGGTGGAATTGTAAGGGAGGGATGGCATGGCGGAAGGGGGAATGGAGAGCGGATGGGGAAGGGGGAAGCGAGGGGATGGCGGAAGGGGGGGGAGGGAGGGAGATCGGATCGGGAAGGGGGAAGGGAGAGGATGGCGGGAGGTGTCGCTGCTGCGACACGAGAGGTGCGTGAAGGAAAGATGCGGTTAGTGGTACAGAGAGTGAATGGGCCGCAAGCCCATGGCGAGCTGGTGGGAGGGGAGACGACGGGAACACGCTTGTGTGGAAAAGGCGTTTTCCCTCCAACAGCTTGAAGGGCCTCAAGAGGATAGGAACGCTCTGCCGGAGTCTTGAAACGCCTTGAGACGCCTTGAGGCGCTTCTACAAGTCCTGATTGAACTTGGGACGCTTGAGGCGCCGCCTCAAGAGGATGGGATGGGAACACTCTGCTGCCGTCTTGCGACGTGTTTTGAGCTGTCAAAACTCGATTTTGAGACGTCTCAAAACTTATGGGAGACGACGGGAAACACGCTTGCGGCGCATCAGAGGATGGGTAACACTCTGCCGGAGTGTTGAGACGTTTAAAACGTCCTGAACGAACTTGCGATGCGACAAATGCTGGGCGCCATCGAAATTGGAATTGGAAATCGTCGCGTGCTTAGAATCGCATCAACCGCATGACTCCACGCGCACATCGAAGGTTCCGTTTCTCACGTTTGGATCGTCCTGGCTCGATAACGACGGAGACGAGGACGATAACAGGTGTCTCGCCGTCATTGGCTCGCTGGAATCTGTCCACGTCAGCCAGGGCGACGCTGAGCGTGCTGCGACTGCTCTCGTGGTCCGGCGACACCTCCAGCAGCCACAGCGGCATCGCAGCGTCGTCGCCATCGTCGTCTGCGTGACGCAAATCGCCGGATACCATGTCGAAACTGGGACGATTGCGACTTAACGCCGCTAACATCGAAAAAATCGAAAACAACAAGTCAAACCGCACTTTACGACGCGTCCGTCCCTTTCAAACGTGAGCAACGAGCACGATGAGGAAGATCTTCTAGAAGCGGGAAGTATGGAACATAAGCCAAATTCACTGAAGTGAGGCAAATGGCCTCTACATCAACTGCTTGTCGACTCTATTGGAAGCAATCGTGCAAACGGGCTCCATTATGGCCGAAGGACGTGCCCTTGCAGGCTTCGCTGGCATTACTAGTCGTCATAGTGGTCATAATGAGAAGTGAAGCCTTAGTCAGCAACAACTAACCTTACAGCTTGAAGACAAGCAGCCATCGACCAGTCACCAAACAAAAGCTGCACCGCTGGGAGGGGAGGGAGCACCCTCCATACCAATCCTCACCAAACAGCGTTCTGACCAAACTGCCCGAGTGGTTGCGACGATGCGTCCAGTTACTACTGGTGGAGTGGACAACTTCAGGAATGCGTGGTGCGCCTTAGCGTAAGAGCTACCGTGAGAAACATGACGGTTGGAAATATCGGTGATTCACGGTTCTGAGAAATATTTCTGGATATAATATGGCTTAGAATGGTGAAGAAGGTTTCAAGAGGGATGGTGTGGTTGGAGAAAGGTTGGAAGTTACACCGACGCGATTGGACGACGGAAAATGCTCCGGGCAGCAGCACCTCATAGCACCTCGAGCGAAATTCCTTGTGGCCGATGGACTTCCGTTGCAAGTCGACAAAACAGACGAGACGCCCAACTTCCACCGAAGTTGCAGGAGGAGTAGGACCGTGTCTCGCCCTTTCCCGCCCCTTTGCACTCCAACAACACACCCATCCACCCACACACCCACACACCCAGTGAAAGCGAAGCGCGAGGCCTGTGGCATTGGCTGGATGGATGGCTGGCTTTCTCTTCATCTTCCAGTGTCCACATCCGCTCATCCCTCGCCACAGCGTGTTTCTTTTCCTTCGAAAATTACACAAGACATTACAAATACCGGGTACTATGTGCATCATTACGCTGACCAACTTGCTTGGAGCACCACTCAGGTAGGCAGTCACTTGTGTCGGCCTAGATGAAGCCCCGCTGCCCCATCTGTTCCTGTACTAATTACAAGCACGTCCTACATGTGATATTCCAGGACATTTATATGACTATGCCCATGAACTATACTACAGTAGATCACATTAGGCACTAAGCCTAGTAGCAAGAGGGAAACACCAACCATAGTCATCCAAATACTTCCCAGCCCTCCTCCCCCCACCATCCTCCTCCCCCATCTCACTTATTCATCCTCCACCCTTGCCGCTCTTCCAACGACCACCCCATCCCTCCGCCCCTCCCCCCCTCCCCCCCCCCCCTCCCCCCCCCCCTCCCCCACCTCTCTTCCCCTTTACTCCACACCCTCACCACTTAGGCCCTTCAACCCCTTATGACCCCCCCCTTTACCCTCTCCTCACCCCTCCCACCTCCCCCCCCCCCCCCCCCCCATCCACCCCAAGCTTACGCCCCTCTCCCCTTATGACCGGTTCTAAAGACCCTAAGTGGGAAGCAGATGAGAGAAGGCACCTCAAGAACCTTCCGCTCCTCTTCCCTCGACCCGTTAAAAACACCCAAGGCGGAAAGCAGATACAGCAGTATGAGATTGGGGGTCACGAGCTTGAGGCGACTCTTGAGTCGACTAATAAATCGTTGCATCAAACGCCCTTAGGAACCGTTCAGAAGACCCAAGGTGGACAGCAGGTCCAGCAGAATGAGGTTTGGAGTGAGGTGCTTGTGAGGGAGGGGGAGGTGGGTTGTGGGGGAGGTGTCATGTGCTGCGAGCCATGCCTCTATCGCCTCCCGCTCGTACGTCACCCCATCTGCTGCCACCACTGGATCGTGCAGCCGTTGCTGTTAATGCACGGGGAAGACGGGGGGGGGGGGGGAGGGGGAGGAAGTAAGGGGCACGTCGGGGATACAAAGAATGAAGGGAGAAGAAGGGGTATGGAATGGGGAGAGAGGGGGAGTGGGAGACAAGGGAGGGAGAGGGTGGACAATGGTCGAGGCCCGAGGCATGTGGTGCAGGCGGGGCCTCAATTGCCTCTTTGTCCCACATGTCACACGAGCCCAAGCCCAGAAGGCTGCACCCACCCACCAGACTCGCAACTCACATGGGAGAGCGGGCAGATGAAGCGGCTCTCTAGCTGAACCTCCTTCCCTGCCTGCACCTCCTGCCACTGCTTCACCTCCTCCCGAGCCTCGACCTCCCGGACCTGTTTCACCTCCTCCCGAGCCTCAACCTCCCAGCCCTGTTTCACCTCCTCCAGAGCCTGCACATCCCGCGCCTCCTCCGCAATGGCAGACAGGGTCGGGTGCACCACCGTCTGCAGGTCCGGCCGATCCACGCCGCGCCGCTCCACGCACTGTAGCGCCACACGCAGCGTCCGGGCTGCTAAATCTCTCGGCCAGCTGCCCGCCCGCTTGTCGAGGCGCTCGGCAAAGAAACTCACAGCAATGTCTAGGTTGCAAGAAGCACGTACGCTTGTGCTTGCACTTGTGTCTGCACTTGTGCTTGTGTCCTCACTTTCACTTGTGCTTGTGCTTTTGCCTGCACTTGTGTTGGTGCTCGAGACTTGCCCCAACAACCGGTGCACCTCCTTCACATCCTCGATCCCTGTCAGCAGTAGCAGCACCACCACGCCCAGCGCATACACATCACTCGCCGCAGTAACCTCCCCGGTGGTAACCACATCAGGATCGAAGAACCCAAACGTCCCCCGCACCTTGAACGTGACCTCCAGTTGATTCTGAGGAAACAAGCCAAAGAAGCTGAGCCCGCTAGGCCTGTGTCAGAAAGTTTGCTGGCGCCGTGGGCGTCGAGGAGGATGTTTTGGGGTTTGAGGTCCGAGTGCAGGATGGGGGGGCTGTGGGAGTGCAGGAAAAGGAGAGCGGAGGCGATTTCAGAGGCGATGCGCAGGCGATGGTGCCATGCGAGGGGAGGAGGGAGAGGAGAGGCAGGCGAGGGATGCGGGGTGGTGGCTGCCTCTTGTTCATGCTCTTGCTGCTGCTGTTTCTGTTGCCTTTTCTGCTGCGGCTGCTGCTGCAGGTGTGGGTGTAGTCGGTCCCAGAGGGACCCCCCACCATGAGCTCATACACGAGGGAGAAGTCTTCAGGGCAGCACCCCACCATGCCCAGCACATGCGGGTGCTGCACCTCCGCCAGCACCCCCACCTCCCTCCAAAACGCCTCTGCCTCTGCTGACGTGGCAGGAGAAGGCGCTGCTGACGTGGCAGCTGACGTGGCGTAAGTTCCCCCCCAGCCCCTGGGGTTAATACCCGGGCCCTGCAGTCTCTTGATCGCCACTGGGCGCCCCAGCAGCTCGCCCCGGTACACACTGCCCCCTGCACTGCCCCCGCTGCTGCAGCCCAGCAGGCGAGACGGGCTGAAGCCGTCCGTTGCTGTTGCTAGCTGCTGCAGAGTGAACACCCGACAGGGGCCCAACGAAGATAGGTCCTGAGGGTCACTTGATAACAGCTCGCCCTGAGGGGCTCGTGCTTCTTCTCCTCCTGATGCTCCATCGACTACTGCTCCTGCTTCTCCCCCTCCTCCTCCTCCTGATGCTCCGGCTGCTGCCCTTGCTGCATCAACTGTGCCTGACCTCAGCAGGTCCATGTGCGAGCTGTTGCTCCCACTTCCCTGCTTGAGCCTCGTACCACCATCACCACTGCAACCACTGCAACCACCATCACCACTGCAACCACCACTGCCACCACCTCTAGGCACTGTCTTGCCACCCATGGCAAGGTCAACAGACTCGCGCCGCTCAACCTCACCTGCCCTCTCCGCCAGCACCCCAAAGTCAAACTCGTCTGCCAGGTCCTCCCCTTCTGCCCATGCTGTGTGCTCCAATACCCCTCCTCTGCCTTCCTCTGCTCCTGCAGATGCTGCTGCTGCTCCTGCTACCTCTGCTGCTCTGTGGACAACCCCAGCTGGCGCCTCACCTCCATCCACTGACACTCGCGCTGGCTGCGGTTTCGAGGTGCTGCTGCTGCCACTGGTAACCCCATCCGCCCCATCCGCTCCATTAACCCGCTTGGCCCCATCAGCCCCATCATCCCCGTCCCCCAGGATGTCATCCCATGCCAGCTTCACCTGCTGCTGCCGCTGCTCCATGCGCCACACAGGGAACCTCTCTAGTGCCCTCCTACTTCTGCGGCTGCTGCTGCTGCTGCTGCTGCTGCTGCTGCTGCTGGTTGCGGCCTAGCATCTCTCCGGATTTGGTTCGCAGCATCGTCACACTTGCTTCTGCTGCCACTGCCGAAGCTCCTCCTCCATCTTCTCTCCCCGGCTCCACCACCTCTTTAGCCCTTCTCCCCACTTTACCACCAGCAGAAGCAGCAGAAGCAGCATGCTCTGATCCTTCGATTCTGCTGCCGCTGCTGTTGCTGTAGCTGCTGCTGTAATTGATACAATTGCTGTCAGTGTTACAGCTTCGGCTTCTGCCACTCTCCCCATTGCTGCTGCTGCTGCTGCCTGCACTAGCAGACCGAGGAAAGGCGGCAACAGCAGCATTTCTTCGAGCAGAGCGGGGTGGAGACGCATTGGCGGCAGAGGGGAGGAGAGGAGGAGGGGTGAGCCAAGAGGGAGAGCGAGGAGGAATGGGGTGCCTGGCAGATTGACTTGTGACCGGTGCTTTCGCTGATCCATCCAGCTGCACAGGCAGCTGCTGGGATAATTTATGAGGCACCTCGGAGATAGTCTGTTGGACTGATGAGACTGGCACAGCTTGTTGAGAGGGTAGACTGGTAGATTGATGCCTGACTGGCAGGAGGCTGGCGGATTTCTGAGAGGGGCTGCCACCGCTGCCACCGCTGCCACCGCTGCCACTGCTCTCCCCATAGTCCCTGCTGCTGCGCCTGCTCGCGTTCCTGCTCTGCTTATACCTGACAAAGTCGTACGTGCCGAGCGATCGTGTCCGTTGATACACATCTCCTTCAGGATCCGACGGAGGAGGGGACGCCAGGGGGCTTTGGGGAGAGCTGTCCCCTCGCCCTGTGCGACTACCCCCACTTCCCCCGCTAGAAGACTTGGGAAAGAGCATTCTTGCTGCTAACCGGCCTAGACCCAGCCCAGAGGCCAGACGAGATCCTGAACCTGAACCTGAACCTGAACCTGAACCTGAACCTGAACCTGAACCTGAACCTGAACCTGAACCTGAACCTGAACCTGAACCCGAACCTGAACCAGATACTTTGGTGGTGAGCGCCCGAAGCTTAGGGGATCCACCCGAACATGCGGCTGCCACCGAGGCTGTGGCTGCCGAGGCTGCAGCTGTGGCGTTCAAGATCTGATGGGACGGGTGGGCACCGCTGCTGCCGGCAGTGGCATGGTCATGATCAACGTTGATTTTATCACCAGTGATTTTATCACCATCACCATGCATACTGCCGCCACTGTGATTGTGCTGCAGGTGCACTTGCCATCCAGCAGCAACCACAGTGGCCAAAGGAGGAGGAAGAGGAGGAGCAGGCGAGGAGGCGGAAGTGGCACTGGCCCCCATGCGTGCGGGCAGCACATCACGGGTGCAGGAGGCAGTGGCTGATGCGGTGCGGACATGACTGTTGTTGCTGCTGCTATTGCTATTGCTATTGCTATTGCTATTGCTATTGCTATTGCTATTGCTATTGCTATTGCTATTGCTATTGCTATTGCTATTGCTATTGCTATTGCTATTGCTATTGCTCTTGCTCTTGCTCTTGCTGTTGCTGTTGCTGAGGTTATTCGCTGCATCCAGCTGGCGCCGCATCAGCTGTTCAAACACGTCGTCGTCGCCCTCATCCTCGTCAGCATCACCAACAGCAGCAGCAGCCGTCGCACTGCGTGCGGGCAGCACATCACGGGTGGAGGAGCGACAGGCTGATGCGGTGCCAACATGACTGCTGCACATGCTGCCGCTGTTGCTTTTGCTGTTATTGCTGCCGCTGCTGACGTTGACCTTGCTGCCATTGTTGCTTTTGCTGTTATTGCTGCTGCTGCTCACTGCGTCCAGCTGGCGCCGCATCAGCTGTTCAAACACGTCATCCTCATCCTCGTCAGCATCCCTGTGGGAATTATGCAGCAGCAGCACCACCACCACCACCACCAGCAGCAGCAGCACCAGCACCACTGCCCTCTACACAACCCACCTTTTCCATCGACTCAACCATCTGCCTACCCCCCGTCTCCACAGCACTGACGGCCATGCGCGGTGACTTGACAGTCTCCCCCCACATCTCCCTACCCCGTGTCTCGACTGCACTACCTCCTATGCGCACGGGCAGAGCATCCCAGGCGGAAATAGCAGAGAAGGGGCGCTCTGGAGATAGCAGGGACGAGGGGGAGAGCAGCTGGGAGGGGGAGAGAGGCACCTCGCTCACACTCGCACTGCGAAACCGACTGCGCCACACGCGCCTTCCCTCCTGCCCGCTCCCCCCTGCTCCTGCTCCTGCGCCTGCTGCCGTGCCTGCTGCCGTGCCTGTGCGTGCTCCCAGTCTTTGCCCCGAACCCCTCATTTCCCCACCAGCATTCCCACTCCCACTACCACTCCCACTGCCACTCCCACTCCCACGCCCTCTCCCACTATCTTGCCTCGCCAGCCCTCCAGATCCCGCCATCCCATCGGCCCTCCCTGCGCCCCTCCCTGCCATCCCCTCTTCCCTGGGGGTGGTAGGGGCAGAAGCACCAGTAGCATCAGCAGCATCATCAGTAGCGAAGGACCAATCATCCAGGGAGAAGAGGCAGGGAGTGGTGGGGTTCCCCCTTACACTCAACGGACCGAACTGGCCGGCACGCACGCGATAGCCACTGGGAAGGTTCGTACTTCCATGGGACCCCATTGCCCCCTCCATTGCTCGTAATTCCTCCTCCTTGTTAAACTCCTCCTCCCCCGTCTCCTCCTTGACTATCCCCTCTCTCCCTCTTTTCCCCTCCCGCCCCGGGACTCCTTTGTGCCCTGCAGCATCCCCTCTGTTTCTAGGGCGTCGGATATAGACAGGCGGCCGGGGTGAGAGGGAGGGAGGGAAGGGGAGAAGAGAGCGGTGGGGTGCGGTGAAAGCAGGTGCATGGAATGGCTCCGCTGATGATGCCCTGCTCGCCTTGACCCCACTACACCTGATGCACCACCTGATGCGGCACCTGATGCGGCACCTGATGCAGCACCTGATGCAGCACCTGATGCGGCACCTGATGCAGCACCTGGCGTTCTACCTGACGTTGGCGCCTCTCTCCTCCTGCTCCTAACCCATTCCTCCCCTAGCTCCGCCAGTGCATCATCATCATCATCCCCATCGCCTGACCCAGCCTCAAACTCTAGTTCCCCCGACTCTCCTCCCTCTCCCGCTGCCCCACCTGTCGCTCATCCCCCAGACTCTGCTCCCCCTGAATCCGCCCCCCCCACCCGTCCACCTCTCTAGTAGACGGCACAATCACCCTGAGCCTTCCCGCCTGAGGCCTGCTTTCAGCAGCCTCCCCTCGCCTCCTCTCTCCCACTCCTCTGCTGCCAACCCCGCCCCGCCCAATGCTGCTGCTCCCAACACCACCACCAATCACAGCACCCACACCAACTACCGTGCCAGTGCCAGCACCAGCACCAGCACCAGCACCAGCACCAGCACCAGCACGAGCGCTGCTACCAGCGTCAGCCCACCGCTCTCCACCCCTGCTTCCCCCCTCCAAAGCAGCACTCGACGAAGCCGAGCGAGGAAACCCCATGCTTGCCCCCTTCCCCGCCCCCCTCACTACCCCCCTACCCACACCCCTGCCCACACCCCGTCCCTTGCCCCTGCCCCTGCCATCCCCCCCGACCACACCACCACCAGCTGCACTGCCGGTAGGAGTGAGGGGGGTATCGATTCCAGCCTGGGAGCGTTTGGAGCGGCTGAGGGTGCGGCTGCGGAGGGGCCCCTTGGGATGCACGGGGATCTCTGCCACCCGCCGCGATCCCTGCGCCACCACCAGCAGGCAGCCGTCGGGGAGATTCGTCTCGTAGTAGGCTGTTGGCGCGCCGCTGAGGGAGTTTGACCACAGGAACTTCCTGTGAAGGGGAGGAGAGGGAGGGGGTGTGCGGGGGGTGGAAGGGGGGGAAGCCGGCAAAGGGATAGGGTAACTTGCAACTGTTGCACTTCCTGTGAAGGGGAGGAGATGGGGTGGAAGGGGGGTGGAAGGGGGGAAGCTGGCACAGGGATAGGGTAACTTGCAACTGTTGTTATGTTAGTGTCTCTCAGGCAGGTTCGTCTCCTAGTAGACTATTGGCGCGCTGCTGAGGGAATTCGACCACAGGAACTTCCTGAGAGGGGAGCAGAGGGGAGAAGAGAGGGGAAACGGGTGAGGGAAGAGGGGAGAGGAAAGAACATAGGAACGAAGGTGGGTAAAGGAGACTGTGAAGCAGCAGGGAATAGGGGGGAGTGTGAATAGGGGGGAGTGTGAATAGGGGGGAGTGTGAATAGGGGGGAGTGTGAATAGGGGGGAGTGTGAATAGGGGGGAGTGTGAATAGGGGGGAGTGTGAATAGGGGGGAGTGTGAATAGGGGGGAGTGTGAATAGGGGGGAGTGTGAATAGGGGGGAGTGTGAATAGGGGGGAGTGTGAATAGGGGGGAGTGTGAATAGGGGGAGTGTGAATAGGGGGGAGTGTGAATAGGGGGGAGTGTGAATAGGGGGAGTGTGAATAGGGGGGAGTGTGAATAGGGGGGAGTGTGAATAGGGGGGAGTGTGAATAGGGGGGAGTGTGAATAGGGGGGAGTGTGAATAGGGGGGAGTGTGAATAGGGGGGAGTGTGAATAGGGGGGAGTGTGAATAGGGGGGAGTGTGAATAGGGGGGAGTGTGAATAGGGGGGGGAGTGTGAATAGGGGGGAGTGTGAATAGGGGGGAGTGTGAATAGGGGGGAGTGTGAATAGGGGGGAGTGTGAATAGGGGGAGTGTGAATAGGGGGGAGTGTGAATAGGGGGGAGTGTGAATAGGGGGGAGTGTGAATAGGGGGGAGTGTGAATAGGGGGGAGTGTGAATAGGGGGGAGTGTGAATAGGGGGGAGTGTGAATAGGGGGGAGTGTGAATAGGGGGGAGTGTGAATAGGGGGGAGCGTGAATAGGGGGGAGTGTGGGGGAGCGTGAATAGGGGGAGGGGGGGGGGTGAGGGGGGCGTGTGGGTGGGAGCGTGAATAGGGGGGAGTGTGAATAGGGGGGAGTGTGAATAGGGGGGAGTGTGGGTGGGAGCGTTGGGAGCAAGTGAGAGGTGAGCTGCGGAGGGGGCCCTTGGGATGCACGGGGATCTCTGCCACCCGTGTGGGAGGGTTGGATGGAGGAGGGATTGGGCGAAGGGAGAGGTAACATGCAACGGGGAGAGGGAGAGGGGAGAGGGGACGTGTGTTTCTGTTAGTTTCAGGCCATTTCAACTCATAGTAGCCTGTACATTTGTGTTGCTGAGGGGCCTAAGGTCTCAGACTCACCGGTCGTGAAGCAGAGCAGCAGTATTCCAGGACGCTTGTTTTGAAGCTAGTATCGTCTTGTAATAAACCATATTGCCGTGTTGTGAGTTGCTGAGGGCCTAAGGTCTCTCGCCGGTCATGAAGCAGAGCAGCAGTATACCAGGACGCTTGTTCTGACAGAACCGAGTATCGTCTTGTAATAAACTGTATGTACTGTTGTGTAGTGTGCTGCTGAGGGGCTTAGAACACAGAGGGGCTTAGAAGACAGTGCCTTGGAAGTGGAATGTGTACTGCTGCCAGCTTCACAGTCTGACCCCGATATAGACCCAAGAGACGGAGAAGTGCTTGACTTTGTTGACTCACCTGCCTAGAAGGACATGGGATGGGACCACGTGCCCTAGGAATGGAGTGCATGGGCCCACCACGTGCCCTTGGAATGGAGTGCATGGGCCCACCACGTGCCCTTGGAATGGAGTGCATGGGCCCACCACGTGCCCTTGGAATGGAGTGCATGGGACCACCACGTGCCCTTGGAATGGAGTGCATGGGACCACCACGTGCCCTTGGAATGGAGTGCATGGGACCACCACGTGCCCTTGGAATGGAGTGCATGGGCCCCCCACGTGCCCTAGAAGGTCTGCCCAGAGTCCTGACTCACCGTCTGACCCCGATGTACACGCGGGAGGCGGAGAAGCGCTTGACTGCATCGCACAGGGCCTTCTCATGGTCGCTGCTGCGCTCCAGATGCATCACTGCTCGCACCTGGTGAGGGAGGGGGCGTGGGTGGGGGGGAGAGCACGGGGAACAGGAAGAGTGTTCTGGCCTTCCTTCTCATGGTCGCTGCTGCGATCCACATGCAGAGGAGAAGGAGAAGGAGGGAAAAAAGGAGAAGGAGAAGGAGAAGGAGAAGGAGAAAAAAAGGGGGGGGGGAAGGTGCGGGCAGAGGAAAAGGAGCAAAAAACACAGCATCCTGTGTAAGTTCTGAAGCATCTCAAGCCTCACAACCTGGCAGGCAGCCAAGCAGCATGTGCGGGCGCCTCGCCTGGCGGCAATGAGCAAGGGTCTGCAGTGGCTGCTGCATCTTGCGAACAACAGCCTCCTCTGCCAGTCTCAAGACCTCTCAGAGCTATCAACCAAGCAGAAAGCACGGCGTTATGATCGACTCACCTGGCGGCTGCGTGCGAGAGTCTTGAGCGGCTGCAGCATCTTGCGAATGACGGCCTCCTTTGCGAGTTTTGAGACCTGTCAAAACCATCGTTCGAGCAGCCGGCGGGTGTTATGATCAACTCACCTGGCGGCTGTGTGCGAGAGTCTTGAGCGGCTGCAGCATCTTGCGAATGACGGCCTCCTCTGCCTCTGCTAGCCGCACTGCCTCATCCATTGTCATGGTGCGCCGCACCATGGGCGCTGGGAGGGGGGAGAAGGGTGGGAGGGGAGAGGGAGAGATGTGCATGCATTAGGATGAGTGTACGCGCACACACGGATGCAGATGCGATGCACAGCTGCTGCGGCTCGCAGGTGCCTCAGAAGGCGTCTCTTCGGCCTCCGCTAGCCGCCGCACCGCCTCGTCTATTGTCATGGTGCGTGCGCCGTACCATGGAGGCTGAGAAGGGGGAGGGAACATGGATGCGGCACATGCACGCATCTGCTGCTGTTGTGACGTGCCTAATCTAAGAGTACCCTACGCGCACAATGTCACACGCGCAATGCCATGTGAATAATGTCACGCGCATCTGACAATGCCCTACCTCCACACGTGAGAGAAGAAGTGTTTTGAGACGTCTCAAAACGCGCAATGCCATGTGAATAATCTCACGCGCGTCTAACAATGCCCTACCTCCACACGTGACAGAAGAAGTGCTTTGAGACGACTCAAAACGCGCAATGCCATGTGAATAATGTCACGCGCATCTTACAATGCCCTGCCTCCACAATGAGTCGGTTAAGGAACATATTAGTACGTGTACACGGCTGGTCGTCGAGCCGTTGCAACTGTTAGGTGTGAAAGACATCTCATCTTGGCGCACGCGATTTCTTATCAGTTGTGAATTCGACACAACCAACGTCGCGCGTCGACGTTCTGACGAGGAAAAGAAGACGAGGCTGATACATTCAACGAAAAATGTGCGACCAAAAGCTGGAAAAAAAACTACTTATGTAACGTTGAAGCTCTCACGGACGCATATCGAGGAAATCTCTTATCGCGTACAGGGAGGTGCGGTGGTGTCCTGCATGACGGCGACGAGAATGAACACGGGAAGTTCCGCGCCTGCTCCAGTAACTTCCGACGACCCGCGGTGCGACGACCCGTGCGACGACTCGTGCGATTTTTTCAAGCTCTCCGCGTCGGCGAGAGCAACGGCGAGAGTGCTGCGACTGACGTCCAGCTGGGGAGTCACCTCGAGCACCCATTGCAGCGGCTGCGGCTCCAGCGGCTCGGGTTCGCCTCGCGGGCTTGGTTCCTGCGACCACTTCCAACTCATTCTCGCAAACGTCTGGCCCCTCGGGCCTTAGGTACTGAAAAACCGGTGCTTTTGAGTCGATCAAAAGTCGCCTCGCGGGCTCGGCTCCTGCGGCCACTTCCAACTCATTCTCGCAAAGGTTTGGCTCCTCGAGCTTTTTAGGTAGTAAAAAACCGGTGCTTTAGAAGAATAACGAAAAATAGCATGACTACCGTAACATTGTCGACCTAGGAGATTTGGCGGGACGTGGATATGAAGCTGAGAAATGGCGGAAGGAGGTAGGATAGGAGGTAGGCGGAAACAAGAGTTGTTTGGAAGCAGATTGTCAAGCAAGGCGCCTATTGAGTCTTAGTCACACTGGCAGGAGGGGCACTTCTGAACTGAACTCCTCCTATTGACTAAGTCTTGAACGTATGTGTTCTGAAAACGGAGATATCGAGTCATGGAGGAGCTCCTTCACTTCAGTCCCGCTAGCAAGGCCTTGACTTGTCGTTAGGAGGACGTCATCGGGTCGTAAGGCTACCGTACATGCGGTCAAATTCCTTGCGTCACGGTGCAAAACGGTAGATTTTGAAAACCGCTTTTCACCGTGTAAAACCGTCCTGAGCCACGAAGCATCAATCGTAAATGTATGACCCACCCCCGAAGCATTGCCCAAGAATCTCCTCCCACCCAGCCACAGAGCATTTTGCTGCTGCCTCAGTCCTCACCACCAGCCCCATATCCAATCTACACACAGGAGCCCCATGAAGCAGCAGGGGAGAAGAAAATTGATCCACAGCGTCCATTGAAATGTCAACGAGCTGTGCGAAGGCAGGCGATTGAAGTGCCGAATCTATCCTCAGGGCGTGTCCCACTTGTTCGTTTTGACAAAAATACAAGTTATTTACGTGATCTCGGGTCAGCAAAAGAGTGTACACTCTGACGAAAAAAACACGCAGCGCGTCAGCTCTATCGCAAAACGAAATTTCCAACGCGGACTCACAGCCCCGCCCACACAAGCCCATCTTCCGAACCAGAATTCACCTGGGCCGCGAGCGGTAACCCGCCCGGTGGGCGAATGGTGGTGTAGGGGTGCGACACGGGATCCCTTTGCGATGGTCCATTTTTTCGCTAAACTGTGGGTTGGGCGATTTTCAGCATGGGGTAACGGACTGCAGGACACAATACGCTATTGTCGCACGTACCATGGCTGCGGTTTTTGCACGTGGGAAAAACGTATCTTTAGGACGTGTCTCACTTCGACAGGTCCGCAAGTCCGGCCCGGACTGGTCCGCCATTGAAATTATGCCTCCAGAAATACCCTGGACTGGTCCGACGGACCAGTGTGGACCAACCGAGTGAACGAGCTTCGAACTCATTGTTGTTGGGTCCGCAAATGCAATCTACAGTACCGTGTAGGCGAGTGTATCTGTACATTTTCCATAAAAACTGGGTTACCAAGACGCAAGACTGTACAGTACACTTGCGCATGCTGCCAAGTTTTGCGACGGAGCGAGTGAGTTCGTGACTATTCGCCAAACTATGACTGTTCAGGGGTCCAACGTGGACCGGCTCGCCGAACCAGGGGATCCTCCCCATTATATTCACTTTCGCCCGCTAAAACGAGGGTGCTGGTTTGCTACACCCACGGTCCACATTCGCTCGGGGGGCGGGTCCGCGCTCGGGTCCGAAGTGGTTTGATGGACTGGTCCCCATCGACCGCATAGAGCCAGGGTGGACCGAGGGATTTGAGACACCCTCTTAGACGTCTACACTTCACCACAGTGGCGTGTCATCGTGGAGTTGCATCTACAGTTTCACTATTTGTCTTGTTACAGTGTGAAAAAAGGGTTACCACGCTCAACATTAACTGTAAACGAACAAGTAGGACATGCCCTCAATCTACTCCAGGCCTAGTCTGGACATCAACTCGAAAGAACACTCCCATGCTAAGGGCGGGGTGCATCATGCAGATTTTCAGGATCGCGATCCCAAGCGATCCTTGTTACAGTGTTTTGTCTTTTGCGTACAGTACTTACTGTAGCGTTGTTGCACCACGACCCTGGGGGATCGCAAAAACTGCCACTCAACCACCCTCGATCTCGCTGGATCTGAGAGCCTGCGATCCCACGCAATCAAGGGTTGAAGGTGCACCACGTGCACACCGATCCTTGATCGCGAGAAATATTTTGTCGCCTGACGACCAAACGAAACGTAAGCGAGGTAAGAACGGAAAAATCACGAAATCAGCCCTGAAACCACACTGTAGATGCGACGCCTCGACCGCGTCTGATTGGTGGTTGGGGATCGTGACTACAAAATTGCGGGTGGTGTATCATGGGACGGCGACGTTGGGTTGCATGGGACATCGAGCACGCCCAACCCCACCGGATTCCACAGGGTTGCGGTGCTAGCATCGCGATAAGGGGGCGATCATGCAAATTCAGCATGATGCACCCCGCCCTAAAGCGACGATTTTGAACGTTACGAGCTGTTCGAAAGCTGGCGATAAATTCTGGGGAAAATATGTCAATGGTAACTTACATGGGGCACTGTAACGCGTACGGTAAACATTTCAACGCAATTGGTAACTCGCTTAACGCGTTTGGTAACTCGCTTAACATGTTTGGTCACTCGCTTAACACGTTTGGTAACTCTACACTAGCAGCCCATCACGCGAATGGTAACTACATAAAGTTCCCGCCGAAATGAGCCCGAGCAAGAGGAATTTATAGATTTTGAAAGCTTTTACGCACAGTACTATTCTTTTGAACAAGTCTCGCCGCGAATTTGAAGGATCCCGTTTGTTCTAATACCACGGACCACAAAGTTTCAGGGCCATTTTATACATATATGTAGCTCGTACAAAAATGGTAAATTTCTAAAATTTCTATAGCATGATTCCGAACTTGCAAAACGATTTTAAAAAGATTCCCGAAAGGACCTCGGAATTTTTACTGTTTATAATTAATGCAACGTTGGAGAATTTTTGCATGTGGGAAAAATACTCCTCTTGAAAATTACATGTTTCTTAATTTAAATAAAGAACCATAAACGCCTGGTCGCAAGAAGTTTAAGGTTGTTGCTCTCAAATTTATCTGCCATTTGAAAGGGGTATAGATTTGTTTGCCCCGGCTGCACGATAGAAAAACGTGCAAACAGTTTGCGGAAAGAGCACCAGAATATCAACTGTGTATAAACAATTGTTTTCACAACACTTACGTTTTTGCAATTAGCTTGAAAATCGGAAAGTGTGTCAGGATTTCGGAGAGTCTGTCAGAATTTCGGAAACCTGTCAGAATCTCGTGTTAGAAGAACTAGGCAAGAATGATTGAAAGGAGAGAGGGTTTTCACTAGCAGCAGTTGGGGTACATATAGCAAACCCTAACTGGGTTGTACTCGCTATAGAGCACCCCACTACAGGCTAGACAATAATAACATTCTGACACACCCCCATAGCCAAAGTGGGGTGTAATCAGTACAATGAGCAGGCATAGCAATAGTTCACAATTATAAGCAAAGCTAGAGGTGATCATAGAGGGCAAGTGAGGAGGAGGAGAAACTGTGAGGGCGAGAAGATGAAAGGCGCCGACTGAAGCTGCAGACACACGGGCAACAGGAGCGGCGCGCACAGTGGCTACCGAGCGCACGAGGGCACCGGACTACGGGAGTATCTGGCTCCGCGGCTACGACGAGCACACACAGGAGCAACGGACCCACAGGCGACTGGCGAAGCAGGCTCGCTGGGCTACCGAAACGCGCGAGGGCATCCGGACTACTGGCGCTGCTGGCGTCACGACGGCTACCTCCACGCAACCTCCCCCGACCGTCCCACGCCCCTCTCACACACCCCCTGCTGACACCCTAGCTCCACTTCCACGACACCCCCCTTAAACCCTAAACCTCGGCTCCCACACATCCACCCCCCTCAGCAGCAGCTGCAGCAGTGGGAGACGGAGGAGGAGGAGGAGCAGGGGACGGCGCACACACACGGCACCCCCATAGCTGCCACCCCCACACTCCTCACCCCCAAACCCTAAAAACGGGCGGAACGGGGGAAGGAGCGCGGGGGACGGCGAGGGGGACGGCGCTCGGCCCCCAGGACGCCACCACGGGGCAGCGAGGGGCCGCGCGCGGCTCCCCAGGGCGGCGCGACGGGAAATCGGGGCCGCGGGGGGTCGCGCGCGGCTCCCCAGGGCGGCACGACGGGAAAACGGGGCCGCGGGGGGTCGCGTGCGGCTCCCCAGGGCGGCACGACGGGAAATCGGGGCCGCGGGGGGTCGCGCGCGGCTCCCCAGGGCGGCGCGACGGGAAATCGGGGGTGGGGGGGGGGGGGGCCGCGGGCGACGGGATCGCGGGGCCGCGGGCGACGGGATCGGAGGGCCGCGGGCGATGGGATCGGAGGGCCGCGGGCGACGGGATCGGGGGGCCGCGGGCGTCCCCCACGGTAGGAAACCGTCGCGCGCCTCGGTGCGCACGGCGGGGAGAAAACCGCCGCACGCCCCGAGCGCGCGGCGGGATGAAAAATCCGTCGCACGCCACGGGGCGTGCGACACAAAGAGTAGTAGGAGCAGCGGAAGCAGGTGGTGGGGCCCACCCACAGGATCGACCCATCTGGATCGTCCTGCTCTGATAGCATGTCAGAAGAACTAGGCAAGAATGATTGAAAGGAGAGAGGGTTTTCACTAGCAGCAGTTGGGGTACATATAGCAAACCCTAACTGGGTTGTACTCGCTATAGAGCACCCCACTACAGGCTAGACAATAATAACATTCTGACATTTCGGAGAGTGTGTCAGAGGATTCTGCTTCAGGATTCGTCAATTTATTCTGACGCGAGCGGGAAAAACTAGAATTAGGCTCAATTTCGGCGGGAATTTCATGTAGTTACCATTCGCGTGATGGGCTGCTAGTGTAGAGTTACCAAATGTGTTAAGCGAGTGACCAAACGTGTTAAGCGAGTTACCAAACGCGTTAAGCGAGTTACCAAACGCGTTGAAATCGTTACCGTACGCGTTACAGTGCCCCATGTAAGTTACCATTGACATATTTTCCCCGTTTTATTTGCCAAACCTTTTTCGCCTGAGCTCCCTTCATTATTTCGAGATTCACAAATTTTAGGGAAAATATGTCAATTGTAACTTACATAGGGCACTGTAACGCGTACGATAAACATTTCAACGCAATTGGTAACTCGCTTAACGCGTTTGGTAACTCGCTTAACATGTTTGGTCACTCGCTTAACACGTTTGGTAACTCTACACTAGCAGCCCATCACGCGAATGGTAACTACATGAAGTTCCCGCCGAAATGAGCCCGAGCAAGAGGAATTTATAGATTTTGAAAGCTTTTACGCACAGTACTATTCTTTTGAACCACGGACGCGAATTTGAAGGATCCCGTTTGTTCTAATACCACGGACCACAAAGTTTCAGGGCCATTTTATACATATATGTAGCTCGTACAAAAATGGAAAATTTCTAAAATTTCTATAGCATGATTGCGAACTTGCAAAACGATTTTAAAAATATTCCCGAAAGAACCTCGGAATTTTTACTGTTTATAATTAATGCAACGTTGGAGAATTTTTGCATGTGGGAAAAATACTCCTCTTGAAAATTACATGTTTCTTAATTTAAATAAAGAACCATAAACGCCTGGTCGCAAGAAGTTTAAGGTTGTTGCTCTCAAATTTATCTGCCATTTGAAAGGGGTATAGATTTGTTTGTCAGAGGTCCACTGGTGATCCCCGATTGATCCTAGGGAAGGGTTACAGGCACGTTGGCCTGGGGGGTTATGGGCGCACTCACCCGCTACACAAACAAGCCCTTTTATCCCAGTGGTTAGTGACTGGGATTCCGACATTGTTTGCCCCGGCTGCACGATAGAAAAACGTACAAACAGTTTGCGAAACTGTGTCAGGATTGCTAATTGCAAACACTGGGATTTCGGAGAGTCTGTCAGAATTTCGGAAACTTGTCAGAATTTCGGAGAGTGTGTCAGAGGTTTCTGCTTCAGGATTCGTCAATATATTCTGACGCGAGCGGGAAAAAAACTAGAATTAGGCTCAATTTCGGCGGGAATTTCATGTAGTTACCATTCGCGTGATGGGCTGCTAGTGTAGAGTTACCAAATGTGTTAAGCGAGTGACCAAACGTGTTAAGCGAGTTACCAAACGCGTTAAGCGAGTTACCAAACGCGTTGAAATCGTTACCGTACGCGTTACAGTGCCCCATTTAAGTTACCATTGATATATTTTCCCTAAATTCCGGGCCGTTCATTGAAGCAGTGCGTATCTCATGGCGGAGATTGACGAAGCGCAGCACCCTTCTGGATGCTTGTGGTAAGCGATACTGTACGGTATGGGTGTCCAACCTTGCTGGACGCCAACTGTTTCAAGAAGCACACCAAATCAGCTTACAACAGCATTGGTTCTGTTACTAGCTTCCGCTACATCATTTCTCAACACAACTGACCTTAACACGTTATGCAATTAGATATGTCAAGGCACCATCCACGAGGCTATTCATAGCCACTTGAAAGAGCAGATGCTCGTATACTTCTTCCCTTATTTTCATCCTCTTCTTCAGCATCCTCGTCTTCCTTTATCTCCAAGATCTCTGAAACAGCATGAAATTTACAGGTTGGAGAACTCTTAAACAAAGAACACAAAACCCAAAAAGATCACACACACACCCACACACACACACACACACACACACACACACACACACACCCACACACCCACAAACCCACACCCACGCACACCACACCCACATCCCCACACACCCACCCACACCCCCCCCCTACCCCCACCCCACCCACACCCACACCCACACCCACACCCCCTCCCCCCCCCCCCACACACACACCGGGAGCTCTTACCTTGCTTAATTAGATAATTCTCCAGCTCGGATGTTGAAAAGTTGTCACGATTCCGGAAGGCCTCAAACCCTACTATTCTATGAAAAGCGACAGCATCCCTGCATGTGGAAAAAAAAAAAAAAAAAAAGTACATACGGTAAGCTGAGTTCAATCTCTTAAGTGTCGTAACATTTAGCCCATGCTTTCCACGTCTCTAGCCCCTACAAGACACAAAGAAAGGGCATTTCTCCTTCATAAACACACTGGAGATGGATCCACAAACCTGAATAGAATTATGCATGGTAGAACTTTGATGTTTAATCTGGACACAAAGAAAGGGCATTTCTGTCGCACACATGAAAACAACAAGACGGATAGAGAACACGAAGGAGGATAAGGGGCCCTGAAACAGGGGAGAGGTGGAAGCGCGTGGGGAGCTAACCCAAGGAACGGAGAGAGAGATGGCCGTGGGGTTAATTTTGACAAAAAGGTAAAAGAGTACATCGATAGGGTGTAATGTTGAAAATAAACCATTGATTCAATTTCCAAACAACTCCAGCACTATTGTGCGCCCCATTAAGGGGGGAAGTTTCTGCATGCAAACTTGTCGTACAACTTACCTCTGCGTCGACCTTTAGAAACTTGGCCTCCAGATGTTTTGGCGCCATAATGGCCAGATGCTTGTCAACGATCCTGAAAAGGTCCAGAAAAAAAGCAGTTCGGTTGGGAAAGATGTATAAAGAAGCGAATGCGGGAGGGTGTGAAGACATACTTGCAACGAGGGAACTCGGAGTGATAAAAGTGGCATATGACGCGGTCGCTTGACTTAACCTCTGGTAGAAACTCTTCCTCCGTGATCTGAAAAGGAATCATCAAACGTTCGATACTCACGTCAGTACCCTTAAAACCCTAGCTATGCTAATATACACTGGGCATTCTCACCTCCCGGTACTCCCCGTGCCCCTTCTTTCTTAGGTTTTCGCGCTTCCGCGACTCGGCCTGAGCCCAAGACGATGTGAACATAGCGAGGGATACGGTCAGGCTTCTTAAAGCGTACACATGAACATGAGAATCGCCGTACACTTGGAGGGCAACAATGCACGGAAAAGCGTGAAAGTGGTGATACCCTTACCATCATGGATTGTAACCGTTCGGCATGTAGCTTTTCAAGCTCAGGGTCCTGCCGCACATGAGCATAAGGACCACGAAGCGATGGTTGGAGAAAGAACGATATGAGTACAGGAAGATTCCGATCGTATGAATTTCGTATGGTCAAGAATTTAGGAACTTCATTCTGCTTACATCCGCAAGGTCGTCGAGATCAAAATCATCCTCTACAGTTGCGGAAGCATTCTTCTGTGACAACTCTTTTTCCTGAATGCGTGATGGACAAAACACAAAGGCACGCACGAGTGTCGAGCGTGTCTGCCTCTTGGCCTACAAAAATGAAAACAAAAGCCATCGCCGATAACTTGGTTTGCTAAGGTCGAAAGTGGAACATTAACGCACACCACCTACTTTCTTAAGATCGCGTGCCGCTGCTGCGATAACATTGCCGAACGCAATATTCCCGAGGCGTGACGCTACCTCCTTCGGGTCCGTGCAATCCATGTTGCCTACACAACTAAATTTAGCTGCTTCAAGGTTTCCTGTGCACGGGATAAGATACAATCACGAACGAACGCGGTGACGCTCGGTTGCAGCACTAATGTCCTTCACTTCGTAAGAGGTGGTACTCGGTAAGCCTTCAATGAGAGAGTGAGAGCCTGTCTTCTGTGTCAACAGCCTCGAGGTTGCTCGAATCTAGCCTAGCATGAATTTCAGATGGAAGGTTTCGGCGGTTTGGGAAACGCCTTCTGACACAAGCCTAAAGAGCCATACCCAACGTGCCACTTGTCGTTTCTTCGTTAATCAGCTTTGTCTGCAATAGGGAGGATGAAAGGTACACCCGTTTGTGGCGGGAGAACTCTGCAATGTCTCAAAATTGCTTATTATTGTGGAAGACCACTATACCATTTTAGGTTCAAACCTAAGTGTTATCTTATAAATCATTTCCTGTTCAGTAATTTCCTTTTTTATGGCTGCTTATTAGTATAGGTCATATCAAATAACTTCTCCTTACAATACTTTTTGTGCAATATAGAATACATAGCCACATACCACTTACAATCTCCCATAAGACTAGTGTGTCCGTTCATCATAGACCCTTTCCTATTAATGGAATGTACACCCACTGATACAACCACTGAAGTGACTGTACAATCTTTTCTGAAACAGAAACTTGTTACGACCCAACAACAAAAGACGCCTTGATCCCATCGCTACAGTCATTGTTGGCTTTGCTGCTGAAATATATGGTATTGCCGTAGTCTTTGGGCACCACCTTGTAGATGTACTTTCCGTAGTTGCGATTGCGCGCGAGCACCTTGGCATTCAGAAACGTGCATGCTGTATAATCTGCCACGTCAACCTTGTAAACCGAGTGTACCTCGCCCACCCACTGAAACACTGCGGGCACGGGGGAGGAAGAAGGGAGGTGTTGAGAGGCATGGGAACAGGAATTGTTATAATATACAAACTTAAAAGTAAACCGTGTTACTATGTGTCCCTAGTGCAACTCACCTACCCACTGGAAACTCAGGCAGGGGGTGGGGGAGGTGAAAGGAATAAGGTACGCACCCCTCTTTGGTCCACAGGTGCACTGCATTCTACAAAATCCAACGATTAGGAAGCATAAACGTGTCCATGGGGCAGAATATACAGATTTTGAATACATACACGCTGTAGACTCTGTAATATGGAAGGTACAGAGAGGCTTACAAGGGCTGAGGGAAGAAAGGGTGCGTTTTCACCTAAACTGCTGAATGTCTTACTAACACTGTACCATGCAGCATCTGTGCTACCCCGGCGTCACCAGCAAGTCGCCTGGCAGCGCCTTGATTGCCTTCCAGTCCTTGCCTCACGGAGACAACCACCTAGACACTGGCTGCCCTTGGGCCATGGCAGTAGCAGCAGCAGCAGCAGCAGCAGCAAACCCATCACGGACACGGACGTACCTAGCATGTCGCCGGGAAGCACCTTGAACGTACCTAGCAGGTCGCCTGGCAGCACCTTGGGCGCCTTCCAGTCCTTCATCCCGAAGCCCCAAGGAGACAGCCATCTGCCGTTGTTGCCCCCCACGTACACCACTTTCTGCTCGCGGGGAGAGGAAGGGGGGACAGAGAGGGGCGGGAGGGAGACATCGGAGGGAGGGCGGGATAGCGAGGGAAGGAAGGGTTGAGGGAGGGAGGGAGGGAGGGAGGGAGGGAGGGAGGGAGGGAGGGAGGGAGGGAGGGAGGGAGGGAGGGAGGGAGGGAGGGAGGGAGGGAGAAAGGGAGGGAGGGAGGGAGCAAGGAAGGATTGAGAGAAAAGACAACGGATGTGAGAAGAGAAGGGAAGTAGTACGAGGATGTCTCACTTATGAGAGGACGATGGGATAGAAGCGAAGGGTGAGGGAGGGGGGGAGGTGGAGGTGGGGAGGGGAAGGAAGTGCTTCCGCGATTATCTCAAACGAGCTTCGTCGCACTTCGCGAATGTGCTTCCTCGCATGTTGCTAAAGTGCTCCTTGGACGAGATAGCAAGTGAATCCCGCCACGCAGCCCTACCTGCGCCTCGGCGCCGCCTGAGAAGGAGCGCGCGACGAATGGCGGTGACCGTTGACCATCATCGCCGGAGATCGCGCGGGCGGGGAGAACATCGGCAGCATCGGCGGGCATGCGGCGACGAGACGTCGGAGATTGCGGAAAGGGGGAGGGCGTCGAGAGAGGGAGGGGAGAGGGAATGGGGAGAGGAAGGGGGGGGGGGGGGGGGGTGGGGTGTGGGGGGAGGGAAGAGAGGAAAAGGAAGGGGAGGGGGGAAGGAAAGGGGGGAGAGGGTCGCGGGTGAGGACAGAGATATGGGCGCGAGCTCGCGAGAACTGAGGGGAACTGAGAAACGTGAGGAAAAGGGTCGACCTGGGGAGGGTGGAGAAGCCTTGCGAGTCCAGGCGACACGCGTTATAGACATTCACCGTAGTGAGGTGCGTGGAGGAATTTGGAGGGAAAGCAAAGCAGGCGCCAGCAATGCTACATGCTGCGTTCGAAAGCGGTAGGGCTGAGTTTGAAGCGATACGGCTGAGTATAAAAGCGGTGTGGCGGGGTGCTAAAGCGCGAGAAGGAGTATGACGTGGTGGCGCCCCGAAAGGGAGAGCACGTAGGTAATAGAACAGCGCGGGCGGTCCAATTGCGCAAGTGAGTGGATGCACGTACCGACGAGGATAACGAGTGTGGCAAGGAGGAACCACAAATGAATGGTTGGGCGCACCATGATCACGAAGGCTTGTTACTTGGGATGGATTGGTAATGGCCCGGAATGGGACTTGTTCAGGCGAATAGGGATGCTTTCGGACGGAGCGGAGAATGATTCGAATTGCAGAGCTACTTTCTGAGCTGAAGCAGAACTGGGAATGTAGCGGATTGTGTTGCGGCAAGGAGCACAGAATAAAATTAGTCCCCGATAGAATGGGGGGCGGAGGTTCGAGAAAAAGGACAGGAGTTGCTGGGGGGGTTGGGTTGGGTTTGTTGGGAGTTTGGTCGGTGGGCAATAAGACAGGGGAGAACACGGGGTTAAGAGATGGTTCAAGATTTGAAAGTACGGTGCAAAGGGATGTTGTGGGATGCTCGACCATTGACGAAGTGGGCAAAGGGGTTGGTGTCTCTGCTGCTGCTGCCGCCCTTCCGTGGGGCAGATTTCATGGAGCTGGTTGAGTCCTCTCAACCGCGCTTATAAATTTATGGACCGTAACAAACCGTACATAAAACGAGCAATTTCTGGCCCACTAGAGACAATTTCGAGGCGGCTTGCAAATGTGAATGAACGAGCACCTGAAAAATGTCGGGCAGACAAGGGCGGTGGTGGTTGGCCGAAACCAGTTCTTCCGCTGCCACTAGAGAGCAAGTGGAATTCGGGCTGACGTTTACAAACATTCCGCGCCGCCGATTCGCACTCTACGACGGCTAAGGATGCCCGGAAAATTACAGTTACATTGGCAGTCTGTTCACGCATCTCCCGCAAATGTTTGCTGGGAAGTTCTGCGCCGCCAGAAAATGTCACATGCGGACAAGTCACATGAGTGTGGTTGAGTTGAACACACTAACAATCACTGCTTTGCAAGCTCGGTGTACAGACTTGTACACACATGCTTTGCAATGCAATACATTTGAGTAGACTTGGTCCCTGTGTTGTGCACTTTCCTATGTTTTTGATGGAGCAGCGGCTTGCAATTTTTATATGCCAGTAGAAGCAAGGTCTTTTCAAAGGAATTGGAACGCATGCCAAAGCAGAAAGAGGAACACAACCTTTCAATTCAAGTTTCAAAGCACAGTAGCACTCAATAAAATCGACACTAGGAAAAGTGAGAACAAGACCACGTGTAGAATCCCCTGATTTGGCATGCAGGTTGATCCTCTTCCTGCCCGGTCAGAGATGTCCTGGAGATGCATGCATAGGCAGGTCCAGAGGAGGTGAGTCACCACTGGTGACGTCGTTCCCCACAAAATGAAATTCCCTGCATTGTATTGGTGACGTCATTCCCCACAAAAATGAAATTCCCTGCATTGTCTAGCAGATTGATCTGCCAAACTGACTCCCGAGGGTCAGATTTGTCCGATAGATGCCTAGGTCCTGCCTGACTCCTCCTGAGGTGATGCCCCTTCCTCAGATCAAACCAAATCAAACTACGTCAAACCATATAGAACCCAATCAATCAAACCATGCGCCCATCCCATACATATCATACAGTTTCCCGACAACCATATCAGACACAACCAACAGCTACAGTACATGCACACACTCACTCTTATCGAAATCCAAACTTGTTACCACCCGGCAACGAACACCACCTAGATCCCGACGCTGCAGCCGTTGTTTGCCTTGCTGCTGAAGCCTTTTGCGGCGCCCCAAAAGCCGTCAGTACCCGACAACGGATGCCTTGATTCCAACGCTGCAGTCGGAGTTGGCTCTGCTGCTGAAGTGGAGACTCTTGCCATACTCTTTCCTTCCATGTCACCTTGTTGTACGGTACCAGTAACTCCCGCAGATTGAGTCGACTCAAATAGTCAACTCAAAAATCAACCCAACCTTGTTCTGTTACTACCCGACAGTGAATGCCACCTTGATTCCAACGCTACAGTCATTGTTGGCTTTGCTGCTGAAGTAGATGGTTTTGCCGTACTCCCTCCAGTTCACTTTGTACCAGTAATTCCCGTAGTTGCGGCTGCGCGCAAGCTGCTTCGCGTTGAGAAACGTGCATGCAGCATAATCCGCCGCGCTAACCTTGTGCACCGAGTGTACCTCGCCGTTCCACTGGAACACTGCGGGTTGCGGGGGAAGGGGGGAGTTGGGGGATGACAGATTCACCACGATGAGACACGTGCATGCGGTGCTCCACTGGTGAGCCGAATGCCGCGCTAACCTTGTGCACCGAGTGTACCTCGCCGTTCCACTGGAACACTGCGGGTTAATATGTGGGGGGGGGGGGCGGGGGTGGGCAGGGAGGCATCAAGGGACACGGGGGGAAGGAGTGGAGGAACGAGGCGACCTTGTGCACCGAATGTACCTCGCCGTTCCACTGGAACACTGCGGGCAGGGCACGGAGGCAGTGAGGCATCGAGGAGGGGGGGGTGGGAATGGAGAAACGTGCATGCAGTGTAGTCTACCGCGTCAACCTCGTGCATCGACTCATCGAGGGAAAGTGCATTCAGAACATCTTTGGGAAGGGGGAGGAAGGAAGGGGGGGGGGGGGGACTGGGCAATACACCTGTTGCGTATCCTCCCCTTCCCCCTTCCCAGTAGCAGCAGCAGCAGCACCTTCAACGTACCTAGAAAGTCGCCCGGCAGCACCTTCAACGTACCTAGAAAGTCGCCCGGCAGCACCTTCAACGTACCTAGAAAGTCGCCGGGCAGCACCTTGGGCGCCTTCCAGTCCTTCATTGCAAAGCCCCACGGCGACACCAAGCGGCTGGAGCTGCCTCCCACGTGCACGATTTTCTGCCCGCGCGGAGAAGGGGGGGTGAGGAAGGAGAGAGGGGGAGAGGATGGAGGCAGTGAGAGGGAAGAGAGCAGTGAAAGGGACGAGAAAGTGTGAGGGAGAGAAGGGAAGCAGTAGGAGCACGTCTCACGCAAGAGAGGAAGGCAACGAGGGAAAGGGGACGAGGGGAAAAAGACGAGGGGAAGGGGACGAGGGGAAAAAGACGAGGGGAAGGGGACGAGGGGAAAAAGATGAGGGGAAGGGGATGAGGGGAAAAAGACGAGGGGGAGGGGACGAGGGGTAGGGGACGAGGGGTTGGGGACGAGGGGAAGTAGGTAGGCGTGGGGGGGGAAGGAGGTGCTTCCACGAGAGTGCTCCCTCGCATGTCGCGAATGTGTCTCCTCGCATGTCGCGAATGTGCCTCCTCGCATGTCGCGAATGTGCCTCCTCGCGTGTCGCGAATGTGCCTTCTCGCGTGTCGCGAATGTGCCTCCTCGCGTGTCGCGAATGTGCCTCCTCGCGTGTCGCGAATGTGTCTCCTCGCATGTCGCGAATGTGCCTCCTCGCATGTCGCAAATGCGCCTCCTCGCATGCATGAAAATATGAGCATTTCGAACGAGTTCGTTCACGCTGTCCTACCTGCGCCTCGGCGCCGCCTGAGATACGGCGAACGGCGAACGGCGAATGGCGGTGACGTTGATCATCGTCGCCGGCCCGGCGTATGAGCATACGTGAGCGGCGGGGGAAGTCGGGGAGTGCGGAGAGAAAGGGGGGGAGGACATCGAGGGAGGGCGGGGAGAGGGGGGGAAACGGGGGGGGGGGGGAGGGAGAAGGGGGGAGAGGGGGGGAGGGGGTGGGTGGGGGGAAGAGAAGAAAGAGAGGGGGGGGGGGGGGGAGCAAAAGAGGGTCGCGGGGGAGCAAAGGGGAAGATATGGGCGCGAGGCGAATCGAGGAACGTCAGGCGAATGCGGGCGGAGTTTGAAAGCGTGAGAAAGAGTAGGACGCGGTGGCGCCTCGCGAGGGAGAGCACGCCGATAATAGAACAACGCGGACCTCAGCCGGGAGTTGCATAAAAGGAGAGGAGACACCGTGATTGTTGCGTGCTCATTTTTTGGATGACGTATAGTGTGTCCGTGCTCCGGCGCTCATTGCTCCGCGCTCGCATCATTTGCGTAACCTCGACGAATTTGAGCAGCTTCGATAACAGAACAGCAAAATACTACGCGCAACCGCGATAGGAACAGTGCGGGTAGTGTGGAGGTACGTACCGACGAGGAGGACGAGAGCGGCAAGGAGGAGCAGGAGGACCCGCGGAGGAACTAGGCGCGACATGATGACGAAGGTTGGATGGGTTACTACTGACTGGTACGGAAGGGGACTTTGTTCTGAAGGTAAGGCTGAGGGGGGAATGTGGTTTTCTTGAGTAGTGGCGAAACCAGTATTAGGCGAATTCTGTTGGGAACAGGCGCAATTGTTGGGAATGTTTTGGGGAGGTGAGACGGCATTGCTGCTTGTGCGGTAGGAGTTTTGTTGGTGGGTCGGTACGAGGGGCCGGGATTCCTCGAGTTGAGGGAAGGTGCAGTACGTTACAGACGGATTCTGTGGGATATTCGGATTTTGACGAGGGCAACAAGGGAGATACAAGCGGTCCTGCTACTTCCGAATTTTTGTTCCTTTGTACCGCGCTCAGAATTTTGAAAACCTGAAGAACCGCACGCCACATGAGAGATTATGAGCACGATGACCAAGTGTCCAGAAAATGTCGGGCAGACAGGGACCTTGGTGATTGGTCGCGACCATCTCTTCTGGGCAGACACACTGTACATTTGACTGACTACAGTTGATGCCCAGTGTGTTTGCTCCTCCCTACCACATGTTTCAGGGTCGAATGTCCTGCGCCACCAGATACAGTGTGCTCCCCAACATTGTCTCCGATTCAAACTTAAGACTGTTGTGTTGTCCACTTTGTAGTATGTTTCATACAAAAGAACAACAATAGTTAAAATTCCTGGCAGACTCGGCAGATATTCAGGAAATGAGAAAACTATTCAAAAATAGCACAATAATCCAACTTTCAAAAATAACAGCGCGTCTGAGCCCCTTTAGGAAAGTGCAATTTCCAGTTCATACTGATAAAGTTTCGTTTCAAAGTGACGAGGTTGTAAAACCGCTTTTTATGCACTATACCGTGCTCAACTGCTTTAGATGAACAGTTACGGAACTTTCACAGTGCAGTATCACATTTTCTTGGCCGATCTATTGGCCAGGTGCTTGTGATGCTGCCACGCGTTGGAGCTTGTTGCCTTGCCGAAATGCTGAAAAGGCTGGCATTTGCCTGCTTTCTGAAGCGATCATTGGCCCCGCAACACAACTCAGTCAGAACCAATTCCTGTCTTTTTCCGTGGATTTCGCGATCAATCAGAATAGAATTCCCTTTCCGTAAAGAAAAAAATGTCCACCCATGTAAGTTGGATTCCCGACAAGCTGGATTACTTTTGTCTATTACTGTACTGGGTACCTCGGAAAAGCAAACCAGTTCAACAAAAATTATCGAGGTCTATCGAGGGGGCTTTCTTCCAGGAGCTTCTTCACGTGTCAGACAGTTCGAGCTGTCGACTTCTCATTCGCCTTTTATAAGCGCATCACGTGAGATTCACATGGATATCACATGCGTCTCTTCCGCAGGACATGAAAAATCAAGATTAGGCAGCATTGGGATTGGGTTTTCCCAGCAACCTCTCATTGCATGACGCGGTCTCCTCACGAGGAGGATTCGGCAGTTCTCCCCAGCGAAATCTCTTGCGGGTGAATGTGATGGCTGTGGCCTGTTGGGAGAGATTCACTTTCTAGGACCGACCGACTCTCGCTGCTCTACTGTGCTGCCTCCGCATGGAAAGGAAACTCTCTTTTTTTGCCAGCAGTAGCCACAACACACTCCAGGCGTCCACTCTACAGCCATCACTATGGCAAGAAAGATTTGTCCTCGATGTTCCCTTTTGCCAGCTAAGGCGACTCGACGGCCACACCCTTCTCATTGGGTCGCGGTTCGTCTGGCATTGGGGTTGTTACCAGGATGAGACGAGAGCCACGTGACGTTTGCAATCGACGGTTTCCTTAGTATCTGTGACAGGGGCGTGACTTCCGGTGGGACATCACTTTTTCATAGAACCATGTCCTGATCTTACATTTGCCATAAAGAAGCAGATACAAGCGCAGAGCGGAAGGAAGATGATGGATTTGTCTTTTTATGATCCGTTGGACAAACGGGCTTGAAGAACAACCTGTGGGTCTACCAGCGGAGTAACTTAGCTGTTGCGTCAGCCGCGTCTCTTCGTTCCCCTCACTCATTCCTCCCGCCTGTTGCAAGCAGTACAGAGCGAAACTAAGCAGAAAACGAAATAAGCTCGATCGAGTAACACCACTCGAAGCACCATTACTAAGCATTCTCCCGAGAAAGGCGGTCGAGACGATTTGTCTAAGCCGTCTAACAATGGAGAATTCTCATTGGACCTGGAATCTTGACACTTGCTGGAATAACAGGCCCAATTCTCCTAGACCCCTCACCCCACCGCATCTCAACGCTCCGTTCGCCGAGCCGACGGTCGCGATGGACTCGTCGCGTCCTGCTGCCTCCGAGCGACCCGTCCAGGCGACGCCAATGCACGACGCCGCACCAAAGAGTAAAGCTTTTCCCGCAGCAGAGAACCTCACGCTTGACCTGATAGGCCAGCCTTTCGTACAGTCGCTTCTATCACCGGCCTCACACTCTCAACCGCCGCCATTCCCAGGACCGCTACCGTCGGTTTCAGCACCTTTTAGCCACGAACCGCTAATGTCCGCACCATCTTCAAAAGGACCGTGCGTAGGGCCTCTCTCAGCGCGTGGCTCGGGCTCGCAGCCAGAACGTCGCTTAGGTTGGCAATCAGAGCGTCGGTCAGGCTCGGAGTCTTTAATACCTGCCGAGAATAATGGACTGAGATCGAGGCCGTTTTCTCAAGTACCCCTTTTCGCGCCGTCTCCAACGGGACCGTCGTTAGGACGACCTGCAGGCTCGCATGAATTTCCTACTAGGCACCGACTGGGGTCATCCGAAGCCGTTGGGTCTGTAACTGCTAGAACGATTTCGACTGCAGCAGCTGACATGGCGTCTTCTGACGTGGCGCCGCCATCTTGGCCAATGGGCGTGGCCGGTACAATGCTTTGGAGTAACCCACCTCAGTTGGGACCAATCACGGGGATTGAACCGCAACCGATTCAGCAAACTGCTACAGACGCGCGCGCAGAGGCTTCGCGGGACGCAGCTTTCACGACGGGCGAACGGGGACAGGAGGCCGCGCACGCGTATCTCAGCGCGTGGGCGCCTCTGGTTGAGCGGAGAGGAAGTCACGGGCGTGAGGGCAGCGGAAGTCGCGGGCGTGAGGGCAGCGGAAGCCGCGGGCGGGATGGTGGCGGAAGCAGCGGGCGGGATGGTGGCGGAAGCCGGGGGGAGGTTGGCAGCGGAAGCCTCTGGCGGGACGGCAGTGCCGCAAGCTCACAGCAAGCGCGGCGGATTGGAATAGAGTCGAGCAGTTTGGGCGCCAGCAGGAACGATGTGGTTCCCCCAGCAGCCTCCCGAATGCTTCCGCTCTTCCCCCTTTCATTTCCCGCCTCGGGTTCCGCGTTCCCCCCTCCCGTTCTCCCCGCAGAGGCTGCGTCTGCAGCAGCGCCGGACGCGCTGACAGCTCCAGTGGCGCTAGGGGGTGTTTCCCCGGGCTGGGAAGACTGGGCGGCAATAGCGCTGATGGCGGAATTGGCTGGGGGAATTGGCGGACATTCCGTAATACCCGCCTTTCCCGCGCAACCTCAGCTTATATCGGCTTCGTCAGCGCACAAAAGCGGAGCGGCGGCGGATGAGTCCGCGCGGAACGCGCAGCGTCGGCGGGGTGGGCGGACTGGTGGCAGAGAGCGCTACGACTTGTGGCAAGGCCCGGCGTTTCTTACAGGTTCCGCTTCTGCTTCCGCCTCCGCTCCCGCCGTCGCTTCCGCTTCTGCCGCCGCTTCCGCTTCCGCCTCCGCCGCCGTCACCGCTTTTCCTAATCAAGCACATGGTCTGAACCTTAAGGCGCTGGGGTGGGAGAGAGGGGAAGGCGGAAGATTCGGGGACCGTAGTGGCGGGGATGAGCGCGAGGGATTGGAGACGGCGCGGTCGCTCAAGCGGCGCTCAGTCTGGGAACCGTCACAACGGACTCAACCCTCTCATCCCTCTCAACCGAGTCATACCTCTCAACCGGCTCAACCGACCCAACAGACTCAACCCTCTCATTCCTCTCAACCGCCTCTATTGACGCAGGCGGAAGGCTTGATAAGGCGGAGCCAGTCAGCTACCAGGGCGCAGGTTAGTCCGCCGCCAAGTTTGGTACGGAGCAAAAGCTCCAGCCGGCCCGCCCCTGGATTATCAAGTTACCCGCCTCTGAAGGCCCCTGGTCCGCCGGTCAGCAGGGCGCTAGGCAGCGCTGGTACCTCGCGTGGGGAGCGGAGCGAGGGGAGGCATTCCGCGAGTCCGCGGGTTAGAGGGGGCGAGTTCAAGATTCCGCAGCCCGGGTCGAGATCAGGGTCCCGGTCGCTCTCCGCCTCTGCGCGCGGAGGCGTTCCTTCCTCCCCCGCGTCTGGTTCCGCCGGTGAGCAGGGGCTTCGGAAGGGGGAGCAGGGCGATGGGCGCGGAACAGGGGGAGCGGGAAGCGGGAGCTCGAGCAGCAGGGGGAAGAGCGGTGGGTGGGGCAGCGGCGGGCGAGGGGAGGGGGAGTATGGTCGGTCGTTCATAGTGGAAGGTGCAAGGGGAGGTGGTGGTATGGGCGGAAGGGCGCTAGCGGAAGGGGATGGGCATGGGCGCGCGGGCGTTTGGGGGAACGTCTGGGGAGGAGAAGGGGGAGGGATGCCTGCGGGTGGAAGAGTAGCAGGCGGAACTGCGGAAGCTGGGGAAAGGAGGGAGTCTGGTAGAGGCCCAAGCACAGGGAAGGTTCCTATTCACCCAAGCAGGACGACTGATTACGTTCTAGAGTCAAGAAAACAACAGTCCAGCGGCTGCGCCTTTAGAAAAAGCAGCAGGAAGCGGCAGCTGGAGGAGCCGGGGGAGCAGGGGGCAGAGGGGACGCAGGTTGGGGAGGAGAGGCAGGGGGAGCAGGGGGCGGAGTTGCAGGGTCAGAAATCGCCTGAGTCACGTGTGGAGCGGAGAAAGAGACCTGCGGGGACTCCTCCTGCGGGGACTCCGCTTGTTGGGACCCCTCTTGCAGGTACTCCGCCTGCTGGGACTCCCCTCGCGGGTACTCCGCCTGGGGGAACCCCTCCCGCGGGAATTCCGCCCGGGGGACTGGCGTGGCGCCTGGAGGTGCCTGTGTCATGCGGGTGGGAGGCGTTTGGCGAGGACGCGGACGGGGAGGAACATGGGTACACAGGTGGGGGAGGAGGCGAAGGTGGGGCAGGGGCAGGGGCAGGAGCAGGGGCGGGGGCGGGGGCAGGGGCAGGGGCAGGGGCAGGGGCAGGGGCAGGGGCAGGGGCAGGGGCAGGGGCAGGGGCAGGGGCAGGGGCAGGGGCAGGGGCAGGGGCAGGGGCAGGGGCAGGGGCGGGGACAGGGATGTCCGGTGGAGGTACAGAGTCTGAAAGCGCAGACACGGAGAAGCGCAGTATTGTGCTAAGGGAGTGGAGTGGGAGTGGGGAGAGGGAGAGTGGTGGTTGTGGGAAAAGAGGGAAGGGTGAGAAAGGGGGGAGTGTGAGGGGGGAGAGCGCGAGGGGGAAGAGTGTGAGGGGGGAGAGCGCGAGGGGGAAGAGTGTGAGGGGGGAGACAGGAGGCGAGTGGGAAGCGTTTGTGCTTGAGATGACACGTGACGCCTCTCTCCCAAGATTCGTTGCATCCGGTCCGATCCTGGATTCATCCGGTCCTGTTTTGCAAACATCCGTTGCTCTCACGACTCCTCCAACCCCTTCCTCTCCTGTTGCTGCTGTGCCCACTACCGCCACCACTACAAAACCCGACTTGCCCCGTCCTGCCGACCCATCTCCTGCTCTCCAACTGGGTCACAGCACCCATTTAAACCGCTCTGTGTGCCGACCAGGCGGCTTACAGACAGGCTTAGCGCGGCAGCAGAGGAAGGCAGTTGGTGGGTCGTTTGGAGGGTGGGTCAGGGCTGTAAGCCAGGCTAGATTGGTGGGTCAGCAAGAGAGAATTGGTCTGGCAAGGGAAGGGGACCAACCTAAGTCCGTAAGCCGCCCAAGGGCAGTAGACCAGCTAAGGACCCGCAAGGAGTGTGAAGCGCCCATGCACGCTGCTGCTGCTGCTTCTGGTGCTGCTTCTGGTGCTGCTGGTGCCACAGAATTAGTCGCTGAGGGAAGCACCAAAAGGCTGAAGCTTACAGTAGCAGGAGCAGAGGAGGAGGCGAGGGGAAGAGCCCAAGGCAAGGTCTCAGAGGACAGGGTTACAAGGCCTGAAACGGCTGAGACTTCTGCTCAGTTGTGTGGTGGTAGAGTGCAGGAGCAGGTGATTCTACAGACTTCTGCAACTGTTGAATGTTTAGCCAGAGAGACTGATGCTGCAGGCGCGCAAGCAGTTGCTGGAGCAGTGCAGGCAGCAGTACGGACGGCAATGCCAGTCGCTGGCGCTGGAGCTGCTGGTGCTGCTGGTGCTGCTGCTGCTGCTGAAGTAGGAACAGCGGCTATGGGTGCGAAAGGCGCCCATTCTGCAGCAGTGCACGCGTTTCTGCCTGCTTTGGCTGGCACCTATGGGCCCAATGATGAGACCAGGGGGCTGAATAACGTCAACGATTCCAATGAGCCCGTCCCGCCCGCTGCTGCTGCTGCTGCTGCTCCTCCTCCAGTTGCTGCTGCTGCTCCTGCTGCTTCTCTTGTCCCTGCTGCCCCTTATGCTGCCCCTCCTGCTGCCACTCGTGCTGTGACTGCTGACCAGCCTGGTATGAGGCTTGCAGCAGCAGCAGGCACTGCCTTTGTTGCCACTCCATTCCTTGCCCCAGCACCAGTTGCTGCCACCTCAGCTGTTGCTGCTGCCACTTCACCTGTTGCTGCTGCCACCCGACTTGTTGCTGCTGCCACATCACCTGTTGTTGCTGCCACATCACCTGTTGTTGCTGCCACATCACCTGTTGTTGCTGGCACATCACCTGTTGTGGCTGCCACCTCACCTGTTGCTGCCACCTCACCTGCTGCTGCCACCTCTGCTGTTGCTGCTGCCACTTCACCTGTTGCTGCTGCTGATCCTCCTGTTGGTGCTGATGCACCTGCTTCTCTTCTTGCTCCCACTCCCACCACTGCACGTCGGCCACGGCCAAGACCAGAGCCCATAGAGGTCCCAGCGGACGACAGTGGGGGATCGGATGAGCATGCACTGGCAGTGGCAGCGGCAGCTGAACTTGCTGCCGCATCCGCTCCCACCCGTGCCACTGCTCCCCACCCTACCACGGCACGTCGGCCAAGGGCGAGGCCAGAGCCCATAGAGGTCCCAGCGGGCGACAGTGGGGGATCAGACGAGCATGCACTGGCAGTGGCAGCGGCAGCCGAGTCAGAGGACCAGCTCTCCGTTCCTGGGCCTATTGCACTGGTGCATGCACAGCAGCACGGGCAGCAGCGGCAAGAATGGCAGCAGGGAGAGCAGGGGCAGGAAGGGCAGCAGGGGCTGTGGCGGCAGCAGTTGGGGCTTCAAGGAGGCGAGGGGCGGCAGGGACAGGCGTTTAGAATGCCAGGGATTTGGCAGCAGATGCAGGGGGGAGGAGTGGGGGGAGCAGGGGGAGTGGGAGGAGTGGTGGCAATGGGAGGAGTGGGAGGAGTGGGAGGGAGAGCGGTTAGGGAAGGAGAGGGCGAGGTCCCTACAGGGCCTCTGTTGATGCATCTGAGGGAGAGTCTGGGGGAGGGCGAGGGGTGGACCTCCCAGGGGAGCTTCACAGCAGATGAAGGGGGGAGCGGCGAGTTCACGACGGGGGAGGAGGGGAGTGGAGGGGAGCGAAGGAGGAGAGAGGAGGGGAGGGTGGAGGGGAGCGGGCGACAGGGGCAGGGGGGATGGGAGAGGGGGGAGAGGGAGAGGGAAGCAGATAGCGGGGAGCAGGAGAGGCAGGGGGGAGGGGAGAGGGAGGAGAGGCAGAGGGGCAGGGAGGAGAGGCAGAGGGGTGTTGCCAGCACTAGAGACATTTGGGGCGTTAGAGACGTAAGGAACTTTAGGGAGGCTAGGGGTGTTATGGATATCCGAGGCGTTAGGGGCATCCAGGGCGTTGGGGGCATCCAGGGCGTTGGGGGCGTGAGACCCGGAGGGCGGAGGGAGAGGGATCTGCTGGTGCTGCGACTGCTGCAGGGCAGGGACGGTGGAAGTTCGGGAGGGGGCAGCAGAGGGAGTGCGGAGGTGGAGGAGGAGGAGGAGGAGGAGGAGAAGGACGAGGAGGAGCAGTCAGGAGAGAGAATCGGGGGGGGGAGGAGGAGGGAACTGGGGGGTGGTGGTAGGAGGCAGGGGAGGGAGGGGGGAGGCGGGGACGAGATTAGGGCGGAGTCCGTTACAGTTCTCGCCTGTGAGAGGGCAAGGGACGGGGAGCAACGTTAGGGGGCAAGGGGCAGGGAACAACGCGAGGGGGCAAGGGATTGGGAACAATGCGAGGGGGCAAGGGGGTGCGGAAGGGCCTGGGGTGCTGGGCCGAGACAGGGGCGTGGGCAGGGGAGGGGGCGTGGGAGGGGGTTGGGGCTTGGGAAGGCGGGGGAATGCGGAGAGGGGAGGGGGGGGGGTGGGGGGAGGGGCGGAGGAGCGGTCCTGGGAGGTTATGGGCAGAGGCATGCCAACAGTGGCAGCGGTGGGGTGGGGAGCAACAGCTGCCCTGTCCCTGATTTAGGGTTTCTTGGGAATTTGGGTGGGCCTTCAGGTGGAATTGCAGGTGGTGCTTCAGGTGGAATTGCAGGTGGAGCTTCAGGTGGGGTTGCAACTGGGCCGTCAGGTGGAATTCGTGGTGGGGTTTTAGGCGGTTTAGGTGGCAGCAGTCTGGGCGGCAGCGGCTTGGGCGGAAGCGGCGTGGGTGGCAGCGGTTTGGGCGGCAGCGGCCTGGGCGGCAGCGGCCTGGGAGTGGTGACAGAGCAAGGCACGGATGATCAGCAAATAGAGCCAACCCCTGCTGCTGCTGCTGCTGTGGACGGGGCAGGGGACGGGGTTGCTGAGGAAGGAATGGGAGTGAGAAGTGGTGGAGGTGGGGAAAGGGAAAGTGGGGGGAGGACAAGCGGGAGAAGGGGAAGCGGGGGAAGTGGGATGGGGGGAAGGGGAAGGGGGGGAGGGGATCGATGGGGAGGGGAAACGGGGCAGCGCGGAGCTGGATAGAGCGGTTGATTGGGCCTCGTTTTACACTAGGCATAGCGGCTGGGGGCGAGAGGGGAGAAGGTGCGGTTGGGAGGAAAGGAGGGAAGCAGGGGCTACAGCTAGGAACACCACAGCAGGTGCCAGGTTTGGATGCAGGCGAACGGGATGTGGTGGGAGGAGCGCAACAGTTTGGCGCAGCGACGAACGTGGAAGGTGGTCTTATGGGAGCTGGAAACGAAATGGGTCAGCAGCAGCAGCAGCAGCAGCAGCAAGAGCAGCAGCAGCAGCAGCAGCAGCAGCAGCAGCAAGAGCAGCAAGAGCGAGAGCAGCAGGATGAGCAGCAGCAAGCGGGTGCAGCAAAGGCAGCAGAAGCAGCAAAGCACTTGGTAGCAAGCATGCCTCGATTCTCTCCATTCCCCACAGGCAGGCGCCCACTGTCGAGGAGGAGAGAAGTGGAAGCAGCAGGGTCGTGCATCCGTGCACCACCACCATCATCACCAGTGGGAGCGGGCGCAGGAGCGGGAGCAGCAGGAGGAGTGGGAGCCAGAGCAGCAGCAGCATCAGACTCGATGTTTGCTGCCAGCCGTTGTGCGGGTACCCCCGTACACAAGAGGCCGGTGGCTGGCGAGGCGTGGAACAGGAAACGCAGAGGCAAACGGCAGAGGAGATGTGGTGCTGCTGGGGTTGCTGCTGATGCTACTGCTGCCACTGCTGCTGGTGATTCTGGTGCCGTTGCTGCTGATGGTGGTGATGCTGGAGCTGCTGCTGCTACTGGTGCTGGTACTGGCGCTGGCGCTGGTGGTGGCGGTGGCGGTTGCGGTGGGGAGCAGTATGGGGAGGGAGGGGGCGAGCAGGAAGGGCTGGTGGAGAGGGCGTGTTTGATAGCAAGAGCAGTGGCGCGGAGGGCAGTGTTGGACGAGGAACAGGAGGACGCCAGGGCCTCGCACTCCATTGAGGGAGGCTCCATTGAGGATGTTGATGATGTTGATGATGCTGATATGCTGCTTGCTGCTCCTGATGTTGCCCTTGTCAATCCTCCTGAGGATTCTCCTGATGGTGGTTGTGATTTCATTGCTGAGGTAGCTGCTGCCGCTGCCACTGTTGCTGGTGAAGGTCCCGCTGCCGCTTCTCTTGGTGGTGGTGGTGCTGCTGCTGCTGCTGCTGCTGCTGCTGCTGCTGCTGCTGCTGCTAATGCTCCTTCTCCCGATCCTGATCCTGCTTTCCCCGCTGCTGATTCTGCGGCTCCCTCCAGTCCCCAGCGTCCAAGCCCTCAGCTTCCACCTCCTTCCTCCCCACCTCCTCCTCCATTAGCTGACCCCAACCAACTACCTCTCGTCCGCACTGACCCCCAATTCCCGCCTCCTCCCATCCCCCTCAATAGTCCCCTCTCCCCACCTGCTCCCCTTCCCTCTCCTAGGCCCTGTTCTCTCAGCTGGTCGCAGCACTCTGCCAACGTGGCAGCTATCAGATCGTGGCTTCAAGATGCTGCCACGTGGCGTGAGCTCATTGGCCAGCAGGAGCGTGACCTGGGTTTGGCTGGATGGGTGGAGGGGGAGGTGGAGGAGGAGGGGATGGAGGAGGAGGAGAGGGAGGAGGAGGAGAGGGAGGAAGTGGGGGAGGAGCAGGAGGAGGAGGTAGAGGATGCGGAGAGGGAGGACGAGAAGGGGGAAGGCGAGAGGAGGGAGGAGAGTAGACAGGAGAAAGGAGGGAAGCACGGAGAGCAGCTGGATTTGGTTGATTCCACCAGGAAAATTGGCACCTTGATGCTGCAGGGGATGCATGAGAGAGGGGGGCGGCTGGAGGGACTTTTTGAGAATTCTAAAAAAATCCCTGCAATTGGCACCTTGATGCTGCAGGGTATGCATGAGAGGGGGGCGCGGCTGGAAGCTTCTCGGTGCATGTTCTGTGGGGCAGCGGGCCACACTGTGCTGAGGTGCTCTGAGACTCGCGATGGAGAGCCGCTTGTGCTAGTTGCACGGCTGTGTGACTGGGTTGAGTGCGGTGGAGAGGTGTTGGGAGGAGGTAGGAGTGATGGGGAAGGGGAGGAGGAAGGAGGGGGGGACGGAAGAGGGATGGAGGAAGGAGGAGGCGAAGAGGGGAGTGGGAAGGAGGAGGAGGAGCGAGTAGGGGAGGAGGCAGCAGGGCTGGAAGAGGGGAGGGGGAGAGAGTGCCGAGAGAAGGGAAAAGGGAGTGAGGAGGGTGGTGGGGGAGAAGAGGACTGCAAAAGTGTGGAGAGTGAGGGGGTGGTGGGGGTGGCACGGATGGGGAAGAGGAAGGTGAAGAGGGTGAGGAGGATGGGACGGACAAAAGAGGAGCCGTGCTTTTGTCTTTGGTGCGGAATGGGCGGCAGCCACTGGGCGGCAGACTGCGCAGTGCTGATGGAAGAACGGAACCTATTGCCCTTCGGGCCTGAGGTAGCTGCCGGACCCACCCCTGCTGCCGTCCATACCTCTCCTGTCAACCCCATCCCCCTGACGCCCCCATCCCTCCTGTCGCTCCCACTCCACCTGCTGCCGCGGCTTCGCATGCCCTTGCTCCTCCTCCAGTCCCCACAGATGACCCCCCTGCACCCGTTGCTCCTGCTCTGCCTGAGCTGACTTCTGCTGTTCCTATCCCTGCTGCTCAGGAGGAACGTGCTGTGGATGTGTGCTCTCTCTCTGCTCTTCCTGCCGCTGCTCCCCTGCCTCTGCTCCCTGCTGCGCCTTCCTTTCATGCTATGTGTGACGCTGCTACTGCTGGCACTGCTGCTGTGGGTGGTGCTGCCGCCGCCACTGCGGGCTGTGTACGTACGGCGGCAGCAGGAGCAGCAGCACCAGCAGCAGCCGCTGCAGCAGGAACAGAAGTAACAGCAGCAGCCGCAGCAGCAGGAACAGAAGTAACAGCAGCAGCCGCAGCAGCAGCAACAGCAGCAGCAGCAGCAGAAGCAGCAGCAACAGCAGCACCAGCACCAGCAGCAGCAGCAGCAGCAGCCGGAGCAGCAGCAGCAGCGGCAGCAGCAGCTGTCATGGATTTTGAGACGATACCAGTAAACCATCAAGCACCAGAGGCAGCTGCCACTGCACCTCCCACTCTCTCTCCCAACACCCCTCCTCCCCCTCATGCTCCCCCCCCTCTCACCCCTCGCCCCCCTACCTCTCCACCCCCTCATGCTCTCGGCCTCACAGCAGAAGCCACCCAGCACCCAGAGCAAGGCTTCCATGCCTGTGGACCTCTTGCCTTGGATTCAGGTTCGGCAGCAGCCCCGGTGCCAGGTCCGGCACCAGATTCGGTGTATGACTGGGCGTGGCTGCTCACAGCCAGGCAGCCGGCTCAGACGCACGAAGCTCGACAGCAGGCTCGGCAGCAGAGGGCCCCAAGTGGGGAGGCACGGGATTGGGAGGCACGGGATTGGGAGGTGTGGGGTGGGGAGGTTCGGCAGGGGAATGGGGGAGAAGGGCGGCAAGTGGAGGGAGAGGAAGTGGGGAAGGAAGGAGGAGCAGGTGTGGGAGAACGAGGAGGTGGAGAGGCAAAGGAGCGAGGAGGGGCAGGTGTGGGAGAAAGAGGAGGTGGGGGAGGAGAAAGAGGAGGAGAGGCGAGGCTGCCTGGTGTGTTGCTGGAGGCTGTGGAAGGGGCTCGCCTGTCCAGGAGAGACTTTCAGAGGTGAGTGTGTTGTTGCGTAGGAGGGATAGTTGGGTGGAAGGGGATGAGTAGGTTGAGTGGCATGTGACATGGGGCAATGGGCAGGGGACAGGGCCCAGAGTGCATGTGGCAGGGAGGGAAGGGAATGCAGGCAGCGGGATGCCTCCTGCAAAGGCAGGGTGACAACCTCAGATGCTTTCTTCCAGACCCTGCTTATTGCCACCCTGTTTTTCATTGCATTTTTGTGTCCCCCCGTGGCACGTGGCAGGCACAGGGCGAGCTGTCAGCACAGGCAACGGGGTGCTTCCTGTATCCTTCGAATCTTCCTTGTTGAGACCCATCCCACTGTCAACCTTTTCCCTGTGTGATTGCTCTATGCTACTTGCCATGTCCCCCCATGGCAGGTGGCAGGCGCAGGGGGAGCTGTCAGCACAGGCAACGGGGTGCTTCCTGCGGTTGAGGCTGGGCAGGAAGGGCGAGCACATGGGCGGCACGGGGTACTGCATGGGACGAATCACAGGTGCGTGTGGGTTGAGAGGCGAGAGAGGGAGGAGTGTCGACTAAAGGCAATGTTGCCTGAGTAAGTGAGATGCGTGCTGTGAGTCCACTTCCCACAGGAAGGGTCCACATTCAAAGAGGAAGGGCATTCCTGCCTAGGAGGCTGGGCAGGAAGGGTGCAGATTTCAAGAGGTGAATCCCCTCACTGTACACGTGTTTTGTCTCTTTGACTTCAAAGCTCTCAAAGGGAAAAGAGAGAAATCAACGTAGGATTACTACCCTCCTGTCCTGCTCATCTCAAAAGCACTGCCACCGCAGCTCACCTCTCCACACCATGGTTCCATCCTATTTTTGAGTCGACTCAAAAATAACGACACACCACCGCAGCTCATCTATCCACACCATGCTCCCATCCCGTGTCTCCCTCACTTGCTCCTTCCCCCTCTGCAGCTATTGCCAGCATGAGCAAGAAACCACCCGCAACAGGCACATGGGCAGGAGAGGAGGATGGTGTAGGGGCAGCCAAAGGAGACTTAGCAAGGGCAGCAGCACATGATGTGGAGCTGTCTTCGTGTGTGGACTCCTCGCCGCTTGCTCTCGTGGTGGACCTGGGCGATCGAGAGTACACTGTGGATGCCCAATTTATTTCCAACAAGCCATTTCTCGAGGTACGGCAAATCATCATCGCTTGTTGTGTGGTGTGTTTTTCCTGGTGCTTTTGCACCGAGAACGTGTAAATGTTTCATGGCCGTTTTTTCTGGACTGAAACAAACACCTCAATTCCTTGGTTCTTGGGATGCCCAGGTGGAGGTTTCGGATTGGTGCGAAAAGATGTCGAGGCGTGGCGGGAGTGCACTCCTTGACTCAGTGCTGTCACACGAGCTTCTCCAATCTAAACTGCATGAACAGAAGGCATGGAAGTGATTCACAGGTTTGTTACATAAACATTATGGAGACATGCAAAATTAAATTATGTGCCGTGCTGCCTCATGAGGTTCATCCTACACTCCAAAAGCATGAAGGAAAGTTGTGTGAAGTTGAGGCGAGACTGGTGAAGTTCAACCAGGAGTGTTCTTGACTAAGGAGTGCCTTGCCTTTTTTGCAAACCTATGTTTCTATGCGATACTTAAGACAACTACTGTATATTCAGCGTCGTTTTCATGACCTTTTAGGGGGGTCGGGGAAAGTGGGGTTTGAGGGATGTCCGCCGCAAACACAGGCGCTTTTAGCACCCAAAATTGCCTCCACGACATGACGCGTGAGTGTAACGGGGGGTTCCACCGGAATGTACGTCCTCGCTGGAACTGAAACCCGTGAATCCGAAGTTCCGGAGTGGTTTGATGAGATGACGATAAGGGTACAGTTGTGTACTCGGAGACACGAAGCCGCTATTTGCGCAAGAAAAGAAAATTGCATTGAAACCCATGTTGTACGGTGTACCTCGGTTGAAATGTTGCGGTACCAGTCGGAATTCGCGCACAGTTGATGGGTACCACGTAGGGAAGATGGGTACCACGGAGGGAAGATGGGTACCACGAAGGGGCGTGCATGATCTGACGGGTACCATCGAGCCACGTAGGTGACTTTTGACGTCAGCGGGCTCCATGTTGGTTACCCAGAAGGTAATTACCCAAATTGATTTCGAGGTGACCAAACAAACGAGCTTTACCAAACCGAAGCAAAACCCTGACTGACCAATCATATCACGGGAATTACGCCGCAACGCCACGAGTTGCCCACAGCCACAAGGCGAGATGTGGCGGAGCCTTGCCTGAGCCAAACTTGAGAGGTCCGTGTGACTATGTCCATGTCGGTGGTATCGTCAAATTCCTTCGCCAGATTTCGCACTGGTTGCCCATGTTGCAGCTCGCCTTGACGTTACCTTTCCGAGCCAGCTGAGGGTGTGGCTCAACCGCAGGCTCGCGTCATCCTCCAGTTAGGTCGCACGCATTACTGATCTTACCAGACCAGAACCACCTGGTTCGGCACACCACATCAAGGGGTGTGGCTCCATATCCATACACATAACGGCTCTCCCTGCTCTGGTCCTGGCCTGGCTCTTCTTGAGTACATCATACATTCCCATTCACACATTCTACCCAAGGTCAGGGCTATGGTGTAGAGGTTTCTACTATTTCCTACCTTCCATGAGACGAGCACGCAGATGATGGCGGCAACCATGGCTTCGTACTACGTCCCGCAGGCTAGTTCCTTCTTCTCTCTTAGCCCTCCGTGCCTTTGCACCTCCGATGTGTCAGCTACTATCCTTATCTCCAGTTTCTGTATCATCCTTCAGCCATCATAATCATGAAGTAGACGTCGTGTGTGGTGGATTACGCCTTCTCGGCTCGTAGCAATTCCGTAGCGTTTGTTTCTTGCATGTTGGCACTATGAACTGATCTTCCATTCCCTTCGTCCTACTACCCCGTCGCCCTATTCCGCGCACCTGCTTTGCTGAGACGAGTCAAACGCATTACAAATCGTTTCTCCCTTTTTTTCTGTCCTCCTTTTATGCCGTCCAACTATCCAATCGTCAAGACGCGCACACGTAGGCGATATACATCGGGTAACCATGTCGTTACTCACTCTCGCGTGCCTCCTCGCTGCCTCCAGGGTCCAACGGCCAACAGCTTATCGGATATGGGAAGAGAGTTAGAGGAGCTTAGAGCGAGTTACCAACAGGTGTGTCCCCGCGTCGCCCTTTCCGCTTGCTATTCTCGTAATTCTGTCCTCGTTATTGTCGTTCCACCGCTCCGCCTTTCTGTTACCGCTTTCTAGGGTTCAGCTCCATGTTTGAAACCTCATGTAAGAAAATGCAGTCTGTACGCGGATCAGGGTGACCAATATTGTGCTCACATCCGTGTCTGTGTCAGCGAATGATCGCATTTCCGTCCGGTACCTCCTCGCGTTGATGTGACCGTTGGTTCTCAGGCAATGCTCGATGTGTGACCGCTCGCTGATGCATCCGGTTGTTCGCATGCTCTCAAGCGCAACCGTCTTCGCGTATCATGCATTCCGGTCGTGCATTCCCGCTGTGCATTCCCATCATCCATTTCCATCATACATTCCCCCATCGCGCATTCCCATCATGCATTCCGGTCATGCCTTTCCGTCGTGCATTCCATCATGCATTTCATGCGTGTCTCCCTTGTGAATCTCGTGACTTCGTGATCATGCGTGCAGGTGTGCGAGGAGAGGGACGCCTTAGAGGACCTGCTACTGCAGGAGCAGCTCTTTTTGGGTCGCCTGTAACATTTGTTTGTTTCATCTAAAACTCTTGACCATGTATGCAGGTGTGCGAGGAGAGAGATGCCTTAGAGGACCTGCTACTGCAGGAGCTACTCAAGAATGGCACTCCTGCTGTGAGCTCTTCCTCCTGCCATTAAACGACTTACATTCTTGGACGCGCCTCGAGGAAAACATAACGCTCAACAGCACGCCGTTGCTGTATCGCCCTTCTGGTTGCACATTTGTAGGATTCCGTCTGTTCGGTTCGTTTCGTTTCGTTTCGTTTCGTTTCGTTTCGTTTGTTTGCTTTTCCCCTTACATGACTGTTTTGATCTGTTTCGTCTGTTTGTTTCGACACGGCACAGACTCTCTGATTTGTGTGTGATGTGATAGTGCAGTAGTGCTCGGCCTTGTGTGACAAACGGCGGGTGTTTCTCCTTGGCTGTGTGATCCCCTGTGATTGCGCTGGCTGGCAGGAAAAGCAGGTGGAGGAGGCGAGGGCGCAGGCAGCAGCGCTGGAGATGGAGCTGCAAGCCATGGCCTCCCGCTGCGGTGAGTGCGCTCTCTGTCTGACATTCACTCGTCCTGCCATGCCATGCCTATCATATGACGTGCCTCCCCCCACCCACCCCCCTCCCCGCTCTACCCTGTGTGCGCGCAGAGGAGTGGAAGCGCAGGGCGGGCGAGCGGGCAGCGGAGATGAATCCAGCGTTGGTGCAGGCGCTGCTGGAGGAGCGACTGGAGGAGCTCGACGACTCTGGCGTGCTCGCGCTGCAGGTGGGGGAGACTTGTGTGAGGGAGTTGTGAAAAGGGCTGCTGGAGGGGCGCCTGGAGAAGCTTGGTGACTCCGGCGTGCTCTCCCTACAGATGAGGGAGAGTCGTGTGAGAGAGTTATGCTTGAGAGTGGTGTGTGAGAGTTATGCTTGAGAGTGGTGTGCGAGAGTTATGCTTGAGAGTGGTGTGCGAGAGTTTGCTCTCCTCCCCTTCCCCTCCCCCCCCACCCCTCTCCCCCCCTGCATGCGTGCCTGGCAGGTGGAGCGTGCTCAACTGCCTGCTGTGCTGTATTTTGTTTGACGCAAAATGCGCCCTCCTTTCCTCCGCCTCTCTCCCTGTGTGCGTGTGCGTGTGCGTCTGCGTGCGTGCATGCGCGTCGTGCAGGTGGAGTGCGCTCGTCTGCGCGACGAGCTGGCCAAATCCGAGGTGCTGCGCTTTGAGCTCTACCGCAGCCTGGAGCAGGGCGCAGGTGAGGGCTGCTTAGTGCAGGGGGCAGACGTGCATGTTGCACAGGGAGGGTGTAGAGAGATGGTGCGCTTTGAGCTCTACCGCAGCCTGGAGCAGGGCGCAGGTGAGGGCGGGGCGCAGGTGAGGGCAGGGCGCAGGTGAGAACAGGGTGCAAGTGAGGGCAGGGGACAGGGGGCAGGTAAGGGCAGGGAACAGGGTTCAGGCGAGGAGGGGGCAGGTGAGGTGCTGCGCTTCGAGCTCTACCGCAGCCTGGAGCAGGGCGCAGGTGAGGGCGTGGAGGGGGGGTATGGTATGTGAGGAGAGGGAGAAGGTGAGGATAGGGCGCAGGTGAGGGCTGGGGGAGGGCAGGTGAGGGCTGGGACCAGGTGAGGGCAGAGGTTGCAGGTGAGCATTCTACTGCAGAGGGGGGGGATGGGTTTGGTATACTTCTTTCACTTTTGAGAACTGTCAAACCCATCTACCTTTCAGGCAGGTATCGAGTACCCTGCACAGCGTGTGTGCATTGGAGCTTTACCAACGCCCTCATCCCTGCCCTCTTCCGTCCCGCTCCCCCCTCCCCTCTCCCCCCCCCACCCCCCCCCCTACTCCCGACCTTCCTACGCCCCCCCTTACCCCTCCCCAACCCTCACTGGGCACGGTCTCACAGTGGAGGTGGAGAGCCGGTGGGAGTCAGAGGCTTGATTGAGTCGACTCAAAAGTCTATTCTCCACCTGCACCCTCCCTCTCTTCCCCTACCCCCGACCTTCCTACCTACCCCCCACCGGGCACTGTCTCCCAGTGGAGGTGGAGAGCCGGTGGGAGTCAGAGGCTTGATTGAGTCGATTCAAAAGTCTATTCTCCACCCGCACCCTCCCTCTCTTCCCCTACCCCCGACCTTCCTACCTACCCCCCACCGGGCACTGTCTCCCAGTGGAGGTGGAGAGCCGGTGGGAGTCAGAGGCTTCAGGCATGTCCCCTGCGAGACAAGGGAGCTCCAAAAGCAGAGACGCGGAGAGGTGGGTGGGTGGGGAGGCGGTGCAAATTGAAAGGTGCTTCGTGTGGAGGATTGTGCAGAGGGATTTGGTTGTGAGCACTTTGTGTGGCGTTGCTGGAGGGCGAGTGGGGCACTGTGTCCTGTCCTGACCTGTACGCTGCTGCCAGTCCTGTCTGATCGTATTGATGCGGATTGGTTGCACGTTGATCTTCCCAGTGTTGGAAGGGTCTCTCCACCTTGCTGCTCCTCCTCAATGAGTGAGGAGGACCCGTGGGACCTCACATTCTTGAGCTTTTCAGTGCCCTGGGAATATCCACTGCGGGGGAATCTATTGCAAGGATCTTCTCAGGCTTTCTTTTGGGAATTATCAAGGGCTTTTGGGAATTCTCAAGGGCGAGTGGGGCACTGTGTCCTGAACTGTCCTGTCCTGTATGCTGCCTGTCATTGATGTGTTGATGATGTCTGTGCTTGTTTGTGTGTCTCCCCATGCACAGCAATGGCAGTGCGGAAGATGCACCAGCGCGATCAACCACCCCTGTCACGGTGGGTCATGTGTGATACTCAGCCATGCTGCGCAGTGCCGTGCCGTGCCGTGCCGTGCCGTGCCATGCCATGCCATGCCATGCCATGCCATGCCATGCCATGCTGTGCCATGTGATGCAATGCCCTATACCCTTGCATGCCTTGCCATTCCATGCCATTTATTGAACATCCCTGTTGGCCCCTCCCTGCCCTTCCCTTGCTCCCTTTTCACCTCCTCCTCCCGCCTCGCGCCTTCTGTTCTTCCTGTGCGCATCAGATGGAGTGTGACGAGTCGGTGGTGCAGCAGCTACTGGAGCTGGGGCAGGCGTCAACTCAGCTCCATCCACCCGTCTTCCCTCTCCCCCCTCCGTTCCCCCATTCTACAAATCAGATGGAGTGTGACGAGTCGGTGGTGCAGGAGCTACTGGAGCTGGGGCAGGCGTCACTCACCCAGGAGGACGTTACACGCCTCACAGAGGCAGTGGAGGTGCGCTGGGGGGGGCTGCTGGTGGGGTGAGAGTGAGGTTGGGGGGAGGGTGAGAATTTTAGGTTGGGGAGGCACAGGGCTGGGGCTGTGAGGAGCTGACAGAAGCAGTGGAGGTGCGGTGGGGGGGGGATTGTGGAAGTGAGAGGGGTTTCGGGTTTAGGGTGGGTGGGGTCTCTTACCTTCTGCTCCCTCCCTATCTTTTCCTTCTCACAGGCAGCAGAGCGGCGGGCAGAGAAGGCGGAGAGGGAGGCGGAGCAGAGAGCAGTGCAGGTGCAGCTGCTGGAGGCGAAGATGGCTGCCATGCTGGTATTCGGTGCTGAGCGGTGAGATGCAGTGTTGCGCGGTGCGCGCATGTATTGGTCTTGTTTTGGTGCGTGCATGCATGCATTCTCATGGCGAGCAGTGCAGGTGCAGCTGCTGGAGGCCATTTTTGCTGTGTCCAAACCCAAACCCCCTCCTTATTACTACCCGTCACTCCACCCCCCTTTTTCTGTGCCTCCCATTTTCTGAGCAACAGCTGAATGGACGATCACAAGCGCTCCCCCTCCCTCGTCTCCTTCTCTCCCATATATGCTGTGCCCAAAACCCCTCCTTTCTTATCCCCCTCCATCCACCCCTCCTTCCCTCTGCCTCTCTCCAGAACTCCAGCCCAACGGACGAGCACAAGCGCTCGCCTTCCCTCGTCTCCTCGTCGCCCATCTCCGTCCGCCTCTCCCCCGTGGCCTCCTCCTCCTCCCCTGACCCCGCCTCCCTCACTCGCTCCAGCAGCGGCAGTGCCACTTCTCAGCACAGCCAGCAGCGAGGGGCACACAGTCGAGTTGAAAGGGAGCAAATATCAGAGTTGAGTGGAAGAGAGGAAACAGGAGCAGGGAGGGTGGACGGAGCGGGAGGAGCAGGGGGGGGAGTGGAAGGCGAATCAAACAGAGCAGCTCTGGGTTCAAAGGTTACTGGAAGAGCCAGGGCACAAGGTGGAGTGGTAACAGCAAGAAAGGGAGGCGGCTTGACGCATGAAACGGTAGCCAGAAGAGGCGGTCTGGGTTTGGTTGTGGATCGAAAACCAAGGGCAGAGACAGAGCAGGAGCAGGGGAAGGAGGAGGAAATAGAGGGACTGGAGGAGGGGGAGGATGGGGTGGAGGAGTTGAGAGAGATGGTGCAGAGAATGCAGAGGCAGAACCGCATCACCCATGTGCTTCTGTCTGTGGTCGTTGCTGCCGCTATCCCCCCTCTTGTGGCCTTGGTTCGGGGGTTGTTTGGTGGCTGGGGTCGGCGGTACGAGCCTAAGAGGCCCGGGTCGGGTCAGGCCCCGATCCGAAACAAGTAGGTGGATTGGTAGATGTGAATTGGCAGTGTGTTCCCTGTGTGGGTTTCCACTGCTTTTGTGCGTTGTCTTGGTTGCAGCTCAAGTAGCAGCAGCAGCGGCGGCAGCAACCACCCTGAGCGTCATCAGCAGCAGCATCAATCGCAGGAGCGGCAGCAGCAGAGGCAGTAGAAAGAGAGGCGGCATACGGTAGCTGGACAATGGCTACCCTTTGGCTGGAACGCCCCCCATTGACTGGTTTCTATGACCATCTCTGATCAACACCACCAGCACTGCTGCTTGCCGCCGTCAACCATTGTGACCACTCCCACCCCACCCCACCCAACAGCACCCACGGCATTCCATTTTTGAGGCAGCCACAAAATCGTCACCACTGCTCTCTGCCACCAACCACCATCATCACCACTCCCCACCGCACCCAACTCCACTCCAGCCACACTCTGTTGAAGCAGCCAAGAAATCATGACCTCTGTTGTCAACGCCCTTCTTGAATTTTCTTTCCGAGGCGCCCCGGAAACCATCTGGCCATCCCACCCCCGCCCGACAGCATGAGCAGCAACATTACATCGACCATCCATCATGTCCACAGATGACCACATATGTTTTTTTTGCATCTTGACCATGACCGCTGCGACCACCCCTCAAGAAGGTTGTTTCAAGAATGAAGTTATTCTTCTTCAGCATCAGCAGCTGTGAGCAGCAGCGACATCACCACACCACTGTCACCAGCAGCACAATCAGACACCACCACCACTACGAGCTGTCTGGCGGCAAAAACAGCATCGAGGAACAAAAAGAAAGGAAAAAACAGAGAGTTAGCAGGGTGATTATAGAAGAACGAGATAGGGCGACGGAAACGTGTCTGCGTGACAGAGAGATATAAGTGTGCAAAATCGCGGAAAGAGGTAGAGTGATGGGAGGGCAGGGAAGAAGGGCGCGAAGACCACGACGACTGCATCAAGGGCGACGGGAAGGGAGGGGAGAGCGCGAGGGCGACGGGAAGGGAGGGGAGAGCGCGAGGGCGACGGGAAGGGAGGGGAGAGAGAGAGGGCGACGGGAAGGGAGGGGAGAGAGCGAGGGCGACGGGAAGGGAGGGGAGACAGCGATGGCGACGGGAAGGGGGGGGGGAGAGCGACGGCGACGGGAAGGGAGGGGAGAGAGAGAGGGCTATGGGAAGGGAGGGGAGAGAGAGAGAGTGGTGACAGGAAGGGAGGGGAGAGAGCGAGGGCGACGGGAATGGAGGGGAGAGAGCGACGGCGACGGGAATGGAGGGGAGAGAGAGAGGGCGACGGGAAGGGAGGGGAGAGAGCGACGGCGCCGGGAAGGGAGGGGAGAGAGAGAGGGCGGTGGGAAGGGAGGGGAGAGAGAGAGAGTGGTGACAGGAAGGAAGGGGAGAGAGCGAGGGCGACGGGAAGGGACGGGAGAGAGCGCGGGCGACGGGAAGGGAGAGAAGAGAGCGAGGGCGACGGGAAGGGAGGGGAGAGAGCGAGGGCGACGGGAAGGGAGGGGAGAGAGCGATGGCGACGGGAAGGGAGGGGAGAGAGAGAGTGGTGACGGGAAGGGAGGGGAGAGAGCGAGGGCGACGGGAAGGGAGGGGAGAGAGCGAGGGCGACAGGAAGGGAGGGGAGAGAGCGAGGGCGACGGGAAGGGAGGGGAGAGAGCGATGGCGACAGGGAGGGAGGGGAGAGAGCGAGGGCGATGGGAATGGATGGATTAACTGCACGAAAAAAAAAAAAAAAAAGGCTAAAAAGGGTCGTGGTATCGCGATAGTAGAGGGAGAACAAGACGGCGACGTGAGGACTAAGTGCGAGGGTGATGGGGAGGAGGGGAAATATGGAAGGCGACGGGATGGAAGGGGAGTAGAGGGTGACGATTCATACTAAGCTTAATATCTTACGCATGTGAGCCAAGTCGATAGTTACGGCACGTGCCTAGGCCACTAAAAAATAGGCTCTCAGCTAGGCTAGGCTATGCTACTTCGTGACTGAAAATCAGCTAGTTGTGAACCCAGTTCCAACTTGAAGTGGAAGTTCGCCCAGCGATGGAAACCATCGCTGGACAAGGGTCGTGCGGGTGCAGCATGTAGAAATGCGACGGCGCGCTGTGTGCCCCGAAAATCGTTTTGGCGGGATCCAGAAATTTTCACAGAGGCGTGAGCCAATCAAATGAGTTCCCACTTCCTACTCGTTTTGTTTGGAACAGTGTTGTATCCGCTGAACTCATCGCAGCGATTTCAAGCTTGGACGGCCTTCACAATTTTATATTCCGGTTTGAAGGGTGTTATAATTCCTCATCATCCTGGAAAGCTGAGGGTTGAACCCATTCTGCATGCTTTATCCGTCAACTCCATCGTGTCACGTATATCAGGCGAATCCTGCAATTGCTCATTCTCAAGAATTTGCAGCATGGGGTGCCGCTACATTTCATCGACTTGATACCCCCTAAAGCACGTCTACTGGCCCTAGTGTAGCTTGAGCCTGCCTCAGCTAACTTGGATAAGTGTATATGTCAAACAGCACTGTTGCTCCCAAAAAAGAGCGTCTTGGCAGCCCGGGCGAGCTTGACTTAAGAGAAGCACATTCCAAGCTGCGTGCTGGTTCTAGCTAACAGGAATGGCGATCTTGACGCCTCGCTGGCAGTCCTTGCCTACGCTGCTGCCAAAGAAGAGCGTCTTGCCAGCATGTGCGGGCTTGACTTGAAAGAGGCGCATGCCGAACTGCAAGGCGGATGTGAGCGGCACGGCGTTGAAGAAAGAGCAGGCCTTGAAGGCAAAGATGTTCTTGAAGCGCTGCACGTCGTGTGTCTCGGCGAACCACTGGAAGACTGGAAAGTGCGAAGAAAGGTGGGGAAGTGGGGGGGGGGGGGGGGGGGGGGGGGGAGGAGGGTGGGAAGGATGTGGGGTGGGCTTGGGCGGTTGTTAGATAGGAAACACAATTTACAACGATTCAAAACCTGAAGAAGCAGGCCTTGAAGGCGAAGATGTTCTTGAAGTGTGTTTCTGCGAACCACTGGAAGACTGGAGAGGGAGGCGGGGGAAGGGGAGTGGGCATTATTAGTGATGAGGGTCTAAGCCTTGAAGCGCTGCCTGTTGTGAGTCTCTGTAAACCACTGGAAAGCTAAAGTGGGGGAGGAAGGCAGGGGGAGTGGGTAGGGCAGTATAGGGAAAGAAAGGAGTTTTGAAACGGCCCAGAGCTCGAAAAGTGCACATTGTGAGTCTCTGCGAACCACTGGAAAGTGAGAGCAGGGTGGGTAGGCTGATATATCTTTAATTGAGCAATATTAGGCTGGCAATGTGAGTCACACTTTTGGGGGGGGGGGGGAGTGAGGAAGGGGGGATCGGGGTGGCCATGGCCATGGGAGAGGAGAAGGGGAGAGGGAAAGTAAAGTGTGAGCAACACCAACCCACATTCAAGTGCATGGGGTCCCTCCCACCCACTTGGTTCAGCCCTCCTCACCGCACTGCACCCCTGCTTCCGTCGACCTTCCCCACACCCCCTCTTTTCTCACCCCATCCCTCTCAGTACCTGGCGAATCAACCATCCATCACTCTCCGAGAATGTCCCCTGGCCTCACAGCAGCTGGCTTCCACAGGTTTACTCCACCATTCCGGTGGCTCTTGATTCACTTGGTCCAGGTGGTCCAGGTGGTCCAGGTTGTCCAGATTGTCCAGGTTGTCCAGGTGGTCCAGGTGGTCCAGCTAGTGGGCCAGGTGGGCCAGGTGGGCCAGGTGGGCCAGGTGGATCAGGTGGGCCAGGTGGGCCAGGTGGGCCAGGTGGGCCAGGTGGGCCAGGTGGGCCAGGTGGACCAGGTGGGCCAGGTGGGCCAGGTGGGCCAGGGGGCCAGGTGGGCCAGGTAGGCCAGGTGGACCAGGTGGGCCAGGTGGGCCAGGTGGGCCAGGTGGGCCAGGTGGACCAGGTGGACCAGGTGGACCAGCCTCCTGTTCGTCTCATCCCACCCCACTTACACTCAACCATCCATCACTCATCAAGAATGTCCCCTGGCTTCACAGCAGGAGGCTTCCATAAGTTGACTCCCCTGCTCCAGTGGCTCACTGGGTTGCCCTGGAGGAACCCAACCATCACTGGCAGCGGCTGTTGGGGAGAAAAGAGGGGGCGTGAGAGGAGGGAAGGGCGTACAGGGCAAGAATGATACGAGAGGTGGACAGGGCAGGGCAGGGGCCGCGCCGCTTGGAAAGCATACAGAAGAGTGGTTTATGAGGATTGAAAGCAATGAGGGGTACATGGAAAGTTACAAGAAAAGAGAGAAGCGCAATCAGGTGTGAAATCAGTTCATATAACTGGTTTGCGAAAATTGTCATTGGGCAAAGGGTGTTCTTGCAGAATATGGTATGTCAAGTCAACAATGTAGCATGAGATGATGCACAACACATGGGGAAACGAGAGCAGGGAGATCTTACCTGGGTGTATGCAACACCTGCAAAACACAGGGAAAGAAAGAATGAGTATATATTTTTGGTAAGCCTTTCAACTAGGACACCGAGAAAACAAGCCACATGCTTGCAAGTGAAGCAGGCTGGCTAGCCGCAAGCGATATGGCGTGTCAAGTAATAATTGGAGCAGTAGAAGCAGAAAAGTCATTCCAGCCGTCCGTGCAGACGCCATGGTGTGAGCGACACTCTGAGGGTGCCTGGTGTGTGTGGTGAGTGCCTGGTGTGAGTGGTGAGTGCTTGATGTGTGGCAACAGCGGCAGCACCAGGTGTGTGCGCCTGACGCGGGGTGCAATTGGATGGTGTGGAACCACAACAGCTCCCACCACCACCTGCTCTCACTGAAAGGCGGCCAGCATCAACAGTGTTATCTCGAGCTTGGGCTCTTCACCTCAACTGACGGTGTGCGTGTGCAGGACAGACAATGAGCGAGTTGTGGTGTGTGTAGTGAGTGCCTGGCGTGTGTAGTGAGTGCCTGGCATGTGTATGTGGTGAGTGCGGAGATTAACTCTACAACGGTGGGAGCTAGACTACGGGGTTGGCACGAGTTGTCAGAGTGATCGTAGCTCTGTCTGTGTTCTCTAGGACTTGTGTTTTCACAGGGCAAAACAACAAGAGTTTCACTAAGAAAAGCTAAGAATAACAGAGTTCAGAATAAACATGCAATGGCGAAAGATAGACTACATCAGATGCAAGGGTTGCTAGTGCTCAGGCAGGTCGATTGCCAGCACGACAAAGGTGATGCTCTGCCAACGCAGCATCTCCACGGCCCGCCAACGCAGCTTGTGTGCGACTTGCCAACGCTGCAGAATGGCGGCCTGCCAACGCTGCACCCGCGCGGCTTGCCAAGACAGCATCCACGCGGCTTGCCAACATTGCATCCGCAGGTGATTGTAAGCGCATGTGCAAGCACCTACTTCGCAGGTGCTTGTAGACAGTTATGCACGACGTGCACTGTCAAGTACATTGCGCAGGTTGTCAGCCACATGCTGACGGTTGCACCTGACGAGCCACGTCGACCACGTGCTGCCACGTCGGTCGACTTCGCCACAGCAGCCTCGACGACGTTCGCGCACCTCGTCGAGCAGGTAACTTGGTCAACCAGGAAAGGTTCCTGGCAACTCTGCAGGATGATGACCTTCGTCATCACCAGTTGACGACCTTCGTCGTCGCGGGTCGACGACCTTCGTCGACCACCTTCGTCGACCACCTCGGTCGACATTCCAAAATGTCAGCTCCTGATTGGTCGAAATTAAGGCACATTCGAATTTCTGGCCAAAATTCGCCTGTGCAGTCTCAACGGTGCGCAGGGTCAGACGCGACCCTACGCAGACAAACACCTGCGAACTTCTGCACGAGCTGCGTCACATGTACATGTGCACGAGACATCTGTGTTGCACTCGCGGATGCTGCTGTCACTCTTGCATGGATTCCCTAGTACACCTCGTGTACAGGCAACCCTTGTACACCTGCAGAAGGTCGGCTGCACCTCCCGCACACCCGACCACGAAGTCAGTTTTGCCCATGCGAGGGCGGGGCCAAAAACCTTCAACAGTGAGTGCCTGATGTGTGGCGAGTGCTTGATGTACGTCACATTCAGATTCAGAAAAGCAAGATTATTTTCATCAAGATTCTTGATGTATGACACACCAAGATTCTTTTCATCACCCCATACTAGCTTTCAACGCCTTCAGCAGAAGCATGGTAGCAGCAGTTATATTTGCGACTACAGAAGAACCAAAGGAGCACCCAGTTCCACTATCAACCCTGCACAGCACACACGCCCACCAAACCCTTAACCCATAGACACACCACCTAACCCTTCACCCACACACACACCACCTAACCCTTTCACCCCCCCCCACACACATACCCCTCCCAGCAGCATCACCAGAACAGAACTATTAAGCAACCAATTCTGCAAAACATGCCACTTGCAAGCCACATCGGCACGAGCAGACAGAAGGGACCGCAGCAACAGCAGAAGCACCGACAGCAGTGGAGGCAACAGCAGCAGCAAAAGCAGAGTATGGAGTGCCTTGTCTGCCGCTGCAGAACCCCAGTGCACAGTGCTGCTACCACCACCGTCTCCCATCTCCCATCTCCCATCTCCCGCTTAGACCTCCTTTTCCGCGGTCTTGGGGATGGAGCTACCGCCCGCCTGCAGCACGCCCTTGGCGCCCTTGCCGCTGCTGTGCGCGTTCGCCGAAGCCTTGCGCGCGTCCACCCGGACCGGCTTCACACATCTGAGGCAATCCCTCGTCTTTATCGGCTCATTCGAAGCCTTGCGCACGTCCACTTGCAAATAAGTTCCCGAATCCGTGCGCTTGTACTTCAAGTTGTCTTTGTACCGGTTGCTCTTCTTCATCCGCCCCCCCACGTTTGAGGCAATCAGCACTCTCACCGCCTCGTCTAGCCCATCGTCCGTCACCTCCCCCACCACCTCCTCCTCGTCACCCACGTGGTCCACGTGCGCACCGCTGCTCGCTTCCAGCAGCTTGCGGCCCCACCTCGCCGCCGCGTCGACGGCTGCGCTTCCCCCAGCAGTGACGTCGCCCCGCTGCTTTGGCGCAGCCGCGGCGTAGAGTGCGGGGAGCGAGGCGAGGACCAACGCGAGGATGAACACGGTGCGAAGAGTCGCCATGATGGTAACGTGCGATAGCGAGCGACGATGAAAATGAGATGATTTGAGTGATTTTCGAGCACTGAGAGAAGAGACCCAGTCAAGTGATGGTGAATGGCCGAACGGAGGCAGTTTAAGTACTAGAAAGAGACGAGGAGGCAACAGTGGAGGGACGGCTGAGAGAAGAGACTCAGTTGGGTGATGGTGAATGGCGGAACAGAAGCACTTAAAGTAGTGAGGAAAGACGAGGAGGCGACGGTGGATGGACGGAGAGCTTCGGCCGCCACCATAATGGTACCGATTTCCGCAGCTTGCGGGTATTGCTTGCACGGCGCCGCGGCACAACGCGCAACACGCGGGATTCGATGGATCAGCATCGCGCGGCTGCTTTTGAGCCGACTCAAAAGCGGGAAACGCTGGATCCGCACCGGAGGCAATTACTGTGTGTGTGTGCATGCTAGCAGTGAGGCTCGTACTACAACTGCCGCTGTTGCACTGGACTTCGATTCGGAGCTGGACGGCAGCGCGGCAATAATGGCTGGCCGTCCATTTCAAAAGCTGTCACTAGTGGGACTGGTCGCTACAAAACTGATTAGGGTCTAGTGACAGTGTTGCCCACTGCACGCAAGAGTACGTGAGATGGGATGGGGAAGGACTCGCTAGGACAGATGCTGGTACCCACGGTGCGGACTGGGTTGGGTTAGGTTGGGTTACTTTGGGCTGGGTTGGGTTGGGTTGAGAGCCCTCAGCACAAGAGATGCCCGAGGTTGGCAGCTATGCGCCAAATGTGCCTCGCCCGGAATATTATTGCGGTCGTGTTGCGGTACGAAATACGTAATCATACATTCTATAAGACTCAAGTCTTTGCCAATTCTGGCCTCTATATACGATATTAAATATATGTCCGCCTCCAAAAAATGGGTATCAAGCCAAGCTGGCAGGAATTAAAAACACTTGTATCGATATGCATTCTGGTGATTCTGGAATGATGCTTCTAGCTGACAGGAATGGCAATCTTGACGCCTCGCTGGCAGTCCTTGCCCACGCTGCTGCCAAAGAAGAGCGTCTTGCCGGCATGTGCGGGCTTGACTTGAAATAGGCGCATGCCGAACTGCGAGGCGGATGTGAGCGGCACGGCGTTGAAGAAGGAGCAGGCCTTGAAGGCAAAGATGTTCTTGAAGCGCTGCACGTCGTGCGTCTCGGCAAACCACTGGAAGACTGGAAGGGAGAGGGAGTGAAGAAGGAGGGCGGAGGTGAGGGGCTCGGCATTGAAGAAGGGGCAGGCCCTGAAGGCAAGGACTTCACGAAAACGCTGCACATCGTGCGTCTCGGCGAACCACTGAAAGACTGGAAGGGGAGAGAGGGGGTCGGAAGATAGGTGCCAAGAGGGAGTGGGCAGTTTAAAAATGGGAGATGAGGACGGACATGAGGGAAACGGCGTTAAAGAAGGAACAGGCCTTCATGCATCAAAGGCGTTAAAAGAGGAGCAGGCTCCAAAGGCGAGGACGTTGCGGAAGCGCTGCACCTCATGCATCTCTGCGAACCACTAAAAGACTGGAAGGGGGAGGGTAGGCGGACAGAAGGGCAGGGGGAGTGGGCTTTATGCTGCGAGAACAAGTGTCTCAAACCTTGAAGCGCTGTGCGTTGTGAGTCTCTTAAACCACTGAAGATTGAAAGTGGGAATGCAGGGAGAATGGGCAGATTTAGACAGGAAACGAGGTTTGGGACGCGTAAGAGCAGATTTGGTGAGCCACTGAAAAGCAGTGGAAGAGTGAAGAGGAAAAACAGGGTGGGTAAGCTGGCAAATTCCAACTTGAGCAGTTCTGGGCTGGAAACGTGAGACACACGTGAGGATGGGGTGAAAAGGGGGCATACGGGTGCCGGCAGGAGCGAGGGAGGGAGAGAGGGGAGTATAGTCTGGGTACACCCACAGTCAAGTGCGTAGGATCCCTCGCACTCACTTGGTTCAGCCCTAGCGCACGTTACCAGCCTCTTATTCAACTCACTCCCTCCTCCCCAGCCACTCCTCACTCACCAAGAATGTCCCCTGGGTTCACAGGTTTACATCCCCCTTCCTGTGGCTGCCGTTTGTTTCACCCCACCCACCCCTCACCCCCTCCAGTGGCTTTTGATTTACTGGGTCCAGCCTGCTGGTCTTCTCACCGCACCCCATGCCGCTCACTCCCTTACCACTCGACCATGCTTCACTCACCGAGAATGTCCCCTGAATTCAAAGCAAGGGGCTTCCACACGTTGACTCCCCTTTTCCAGTGGGTCCAAAATTCACTTGATGCAGCCTCCCGTTCGTCTCACCCCACCCAGCTCACTCCCTTACCACTCTCAGCCACATCTTACTCACCGAGAATATCTCCTGGCTTGACAGCAGGAGGCTTCCACAGGTTGACTCCCCCACTCCAGTGACTCACCGGGTTGCCCTGAAGAAACCCAACCATCACTGGCAGGGGCTGTGGGGGAGGGAAGAGAGGGTGTGAGAGGGATGAATGGCGTGAGAGGGATGAATGGCGTGGGAGGGATGAATGGGGAAGGGCCACTCCGGAAGCATAAGAATTGTAAGAAAATATGATTGAATGAAAAGTTTATAGAACGCGGCAGAGGCGCATTCAGGTCTACAAAAAGTGTCACTGGGCTATGGGTGCATTTGCAGAATATGGTAACTTGAGCCTATAAAGTAGCATGAGGAAATCGAGAGCGCGAGGAGAATTCACCTGTGTGTACGCAACACCTGCACACACGACATATGAAAGAACACAGGGTTAGGAAGCATGAAGGGCAATATATATGGTACGGCTTCTGCTAGGACACCAAGGAAACAGGGCCAGATGCTTGCAAGTGAAGGCTGGCTTCTCCCAAGCGAAATGGAGTGTCAAGTAATAATAGGTGAAAATCATTTTTGACAGCGATTGTCAGGTGCTTACTGGTGAAGGTTGCTGCAAGAAGCAGCAGAAGCAGGGGGGTCATCTCAGCCGTCCGTGCAGACGCCATGGCGTGAGCGACACCCTGAGGGACACCCTGAGCCTTCTTCTGAGCAACACGCTGAGCGAGACCTAGAGGTGCGGTTTCGAAAACAATAGACCAGCAACGACGCCGTGCAGTTCTGGTGGTGCAAATACGCGGCTTCACCTGCTCTCCAGGCGGCCAGCGTCAATAGCGTTATCGAGAGCCTGAAATCTGCCACTTTTCACTTCAAACTTTAGGGGAAATGGGCATGTGCAGGTGGGGGAATGGAGCGCTATGTCACTGCTGCCAGTCGGTGAAACGGTTTTTACTTTCTGGAAGGATGGCTCCAGGGGGGATGTTAACGATGAAAAGGAGTGCAGAGGAAGCTGATACTACTTGGTACAATTCAGAGTTTGAATCTGAGTAGGAATGAATAATGCGGATGCGCCTGTTTATACCCATTTGATCTGATATCCCTCAGACCATGTTAATCGCTCTGAGTTTTGCCGCTTGCACGGAGAGAGGGGGATAGATTGAAAGAGTGAGGCCGAAATTTTTGGCCGAAACGCGCGCGGCGCACAGGAGTTTCACCACCTCTACGGCCCAATGGTGTCGTTGCTGTTAGCGGTACTGCTAGTGCGCGCGCCGTGGTTTCACTTTCAAACGGAGAATTCATGAAGAACCGACCGCTACTGGATCCCTCCTTCGCAGCCGCCATTGCAGGCACGTGCGAGTGAGAGGGTGTGCCGGACGGTGGGGTGTTGCTGTGCTACCGGACAAGGATGCGTCTACTGTAGTACAGTATGTCTAACTGTAACTAAAATCGACGATAACATCTCCGCGCACATTCCGGCGGGAACAGCCACCAGTTTCACTACTACTAGCTCGGCCTGGAGGAAGCTTGTCGTTGAGATGAGGTCGGTCAACGTAGCTGTCTCAATTCGATCATCTAGAAGGGCTTCCCGCGAATTGCGGCCGACCAGCTCAAACTTTAGAATATGAAGAGACTTCACCGAGCAGAATCCGACGGTTTGACGCGGAAAGGCGAGGCGTGGCGGCGAAGGGATGGCGGAACGGACCACTAGACGTGTTGGAGATTGCTCGCAAAATGAGCTCCGATAAAGCCGAGTAGAGCAGATAAGGCAGCAGAGCAAGGAGACAGAAAGAAACTGGGAGGCTCAAACGGGAGGCTGCAAGCTGCAAAATTTTCCGCATTCGGTGAATTCTGATTGGTCAGACGGAAGGCTTGAATTCAAACTCGAAATTTCAAGGTTTCCCGCGTTGTCATGTACCCCTGGAAGCGACCCCGTTTGAATACCGTGGTCTACATTTATCTTCGCAGACATAAGGCAGATACGGTACCAAATGCCACTGATTTCCCTTTACGAGCACATACACCGGTAGGATCAACCATTATCTTTAGAGCTATTTACAGTAGTTGTCCAGACGTACTTAACGATTCTTGGTTTCCGCTTGAATTATGTGTTCGACTGTCTTGGCCTTCATGGCTGCTAAAACCTGCCCCACTATCATGACAATCACCACTACTCGACAAATCTTCAGAATGGCCGGAAACTCCTCGACCAAACTCCCTCGCTTCAACACCAACTTCAGCAGCCACATCCCCATCAATTCTGCGAATCTCTTCCATCTCGCAATCAAACTCCAGCCCCGCCGCCTCCAGCTCCTCACAAAGCCCCTCGTAGCTGCGCGTGACGGCGCTAAGCTGATTCCGTAGATGCTCCATCTCCATCCTTAGGCTGGGAGCTGAACCAATCAGGGAGAAAGAGGGGAAGGAGGGGAAGAATACACCCAGTGAGAGCTCTTCTAACCTCACAGAGCCCCTTGTAGCTGCGTATCGCGGCGCTTAGCTGATTCCGAAGATGCTCCATCTCCATCCTTAGGGCGTGTAACCATTTTGCATATTTTTGTTCCGGACGGTCTGAAATGTGGACCGTCCGGTTTAGCGAAGAGTTACCAAAGTCGCAGTATTTCGCATATGTGTTCGTGGAACTCCTTGCGACGTCGCCAGCATTCCGTACCGTCATGACACTTTTTCACGTTTCCAACGGTCCGAAATGTGCATTTTGGACAGTCCGAACCCCCAACGGACGGTCCGCCAGTTCTGCGCAGGGATTGGCGTGTGAATTTCGCTCTGCAAACCTGTGCAGGGATTGGCAAACGAATATGTCTTGCGACAGCTTGTGTATTTGGTTACGAGTGTCGCGGGAACTGCGCGAGAATACAGTAGTCGCGAAGTCGGAGTGCTAGCAAAAAGTGTCATGTTTCTCTCCGGACGGTGGCAAGGTTCCAAAACGTCACAATAAATGGTCCGATTCTCGATATTAGTCCGTTTTAAAATATATGGACAGTCCAAAAAATCCCCCAAAAAAAAAAAAAAAATCAAAATGGTTACACGCCCTTAGGCTGGGAGCTGAACCAATCAGGGAGAGAAAAGACTGAAAGTGAAAAAGTGAAGGATACACTCTCAGTCAGCTCATTCTCTTTCACACCTTTCCTGCCTGCGCTACTCCTGCTTCCACATGGCTCGTCGGCTCTTACAAATATCCCCACAACATTGGCACCACGTGTCAATTGCTCTTCACAACGCTGCTGGACCAGTTCATCGACTTGTACACCTCCCCTGCCAGTGCTTCCACCGCCCACAAGAAAGTCTCAATAACAAACAGTGAACTTGCCTGCCCTCAGGTGCTGCAGGTTGCCCTTCACAACGCTGCTCGTCCAGTTCATCGACTCGTACACCTTCCCCACCAGTGCTTCCACCACCTCCATCCCAAAGTCAGCCCCTCAAATAACACAGTTACCTGCTCATAGACAAAGCACTTACCTGCTCTCAGGTGCTGCAGGTTGCTCTTCACGACGCTGCTGGTCCAGTTCATGCACTTGTACACCTTCCCTGCCAGTGCTGCTTACACTACCTGCCAGAGCGCCTCAATACTACACAAAGTACTTGCCTGCCCTCAAGTGCTGCAGGTTGCTTTTGACGACGCTGCTGGTCCAGTTCATGCGCTTGTACACCTTCCCTGCCAGTGCTGCTTACACTACCTGCCAGAGCGCCTCAATACTATACTACACAAAGTACTTGCCTGCCCTCAAGTGCTGCAGGTTGCTTTTGACTACGCTGCTGGTCCAGTTCATGCGCTTGTACACCTTCCCCGCCAGTGCTTCCACTGCCTCCATGCGACTCATCAGCTCCTGCTGGTTACCACACACCCGCCCCGCCACGTCAGTGTGCCACTGCTCGTACCCCGCCAGCACAGAGGCTGACGTGGCGCCTTGAGATTTCAAGTCACGCACAGCCATGGCTGTTAAGGGAAATCGGGCGTGGATGAGGAGGGATGTGGGCCGCGGGAGTGGGCAGGGGGAAGGGGCAGTGTGAAGGATTTCCTAGGAATAGGTGAAAGAGGATACACACACACACACACTACCTTGACCGCCAAATAAATAGCCACGTGTAGAGAGGGTGTTTTTGAGACGTCTCAAAAACACCCTCTCTACAGGAGTGGACAGGGGGAAGGGGCAGTGTGAAGGATTTCTTAGGAATACACACACACACACACTGTCTTGACCGCCAAAGAAATAGGTGTGAATGAGGATGGAGGTGAGCAGGAGCAGGGGAGCTGGGCAGGGTGGATCGATGGTACGTGGAAGCTGAACAAGCAGGGGAAGTATGGGCTTCTTTCAAGAGTGGCATTGTACGGCCGTTTGAGTTGATTTGATACGGAATCCAACCCTAAAGTTGCCTCTCGAGAGAATCATAGAGGGAGCAATACACGACCGAATGCTCTACTTTCAAGACGTTTCGATCGGATCGAATCCTGCACGTGGTCATGTAACCGTGTAACCAGCAGCACTCGCACATCTCACCTATCCTCTGCGCATGCGCTGCCATCGGCGCTTCTCCACTGCCGGCTGTGGAAGAACGAGGTGAACCCTCCGCCACACCACGCCTGCTGACAGTGGTAGTGGCGGTAAAGGTCCCCGCCTCAGCATCATCATCAGCAGCAGCAGCAGCAGACTTACCAGCAGCTGTAGCGGCTGTAGCAGAAGTGGTACTAGGTGCGACACCAACAGTTGTAGCGGCTGTAGCGGCAGCACCAGTGGAAGCAGGGGAAGCGTTGGTAGCAGCAGAGGCACCAGCATGAGCAATATTAGCAGCGGCAGCAGTGGCAGCAGGGGCAGGGAGGCGGGTGTTGGTGTGGGTTGCCTGAAGAAGCAAGGGGGTGAGCTGCTGCAGCAGGGGAACAGTCTGAAATGACAGGGGAGAATGGGGTGGAGGAGAGGAATAGGGGAAGGGAGGATCAGGAAAAGGCTGAAGGCATATTTAGAAGTCACAAGGGGTGAGCTGCTGCAGCAGGGGAACGGTCTGCAGTGACAGGGGAGAACGGGGTGGATGGAAGGGGAGAAAAATGGGGGGAAGCGAAGGAGGGATGAGGATACAAAACAGAGGCTCCTCCCCTTCCCTTTCCTCCCCTTCCCTTTCCTCCCCTTCCCTTTCCTCCCCTTCCCTCTTCCTCCCCTTCCCTCTTCCTCCCCTTCCCTTTCCTCCCCTTCCCTTTCCTCCCCTTCCCTTTCCTCCCCTTCCCTCTTCCTCCTCCCGCCTTCCCCATCCATCCTTACTCTCCTCATTTCTGACCACACTCCCCTTCACACTCCCCTTCAAACTCCCCCTCACACTCCCCTTCACACTCCTCTTCACACTCCCCTATACCCATCTAAAAGTTCCCGCTCTCTGCAAGCTCGTCTTGCCCTCAAATTCTTCCACCCGTCCCCCTCTGGCACCACATAAGTATCCCACAACAGCACTTCAAAAGCACTCACTCAAATCAACCCGATGCTTTTAAAGTCATCCCAACACCTTCCACCCCTCCCCGCTATCCCAACAGCAACAGCAACTCGACTCAACACACTGCATCCTATCTCTCTTCTTCCCCTTCTTCTCTCCCCCCCTCTCCCCTCCACCCCTTCCTCCTCCCTGCCACTCCCACATGTGTCTCCCCTTTGTACAGTCACGGATCTAACCCTCTACCACACTACCCCCCCGCCACCCTCCATCACCCCGCTACCCCACCCCACCACCCCACTATCCCCCACTAACCCCCACTGCCCCCGCCTACCCCCACCCCACTACCCCTCACCCCCCCCTGCCCACCCCCCAATACTTCCCAACACCCCACAACCTGTCGCAGCGCTCTCAGTCGTTGCAAAGACTCATCCTCCTCCTCCGCTGTCGTCCCTTCGCCTATCATCTATTACCCCACCACCCCACTACCCCCCTCTACCCCCCACCACCCCCCACTACCCCCCACTACCCCTCACCACTCCTTTACAACCTGTCGCAGCGCTCTCAACCGTTGCAAAGACTCATCCTCCTCTTCCACCGCACCTTCCCCCGCCGACACCACCGTGATGACGTCAGCACCGCCAGCCTGAAGCGCGCTACGTCGGAAGCGCGGTGGGCCGGGGGAGCCGGGGGGAGGGGGGAGGGGAGAGGGGGAGGGGTGGGGGGGCGGGGTGGTCAAGGGGCGCGCACGAAGATACGACACGCACGACTGCGTGGAAATGCGTAACTCAGCAAGCTCGTGCTTGTATTAGCCCGTGAATTAAGAAGTGAGTGACCCTATTTGGAATCTGGGAACTTGCCGAGCGAACACGGCTTGCAGCAGCTCCCATGGAAGTCGAAGCCGTGGAGGCAAAGGCGGAAACAGCGTGTCTGATGGTAGACGTTTTTTGAATTCGTAGGGTTAAGGCCACGCCTGAGCCCGAGTTACATTTGTTCCCGAGAGTGGCGAAAGTTGCGAGAGTCGCGAGAGTCGCGAGGGCTCGGTAGCAACAAAAAAATGGTTCAAGAGAACCTTCAATTGCTATTCCTGAAAGTTTGCCCCGACTGCCGTCCAGCGAAACAACAGCTCCCAGCTGCTGCTGTTCGAGCTTTCACCGCACTGTATCACGCTCATACCTCGCTGCAAATCGCTTCTACCCAGCTCAGGACGCGGTTTAAGTGTGAAGATCGCTGGCTCGTTCTGCAAAATCGAGCCTCGAAACCGATTTGGCGGATCATTTGGCGAAACGTGGCGATCGCGATGCCGTAACGATCGCCACTGAGAATTGACATATCTCCCGCGATCAGTGATCAGTCGCATTCCCGCACTGTACAGAAATTTTGGCCAAAATACTAACCGTAGCATAGTTACAGCATAGCTAATAGGGTAATCAATCCGCACATCGATCGTGAATGACGATCGATCGTCTACTCTTACCGCGTCCTCAGCATGGCGTGGCCTGAATAGGGGTGTTGTTCGCTTTACAAACGTTACTGCCTCAGCGGCAGATTTTTCGTTATCAGATTATCATAGGCATCTGCATTGCATTCTGAGCTATCTAACATGTCTATTAGTATGCTATATATAGCAATAACAAATGGTTGGAACTATACGGTAAGGATACTAGAATTGGAAATGGCTAAATCTATTTACTTGTTGGCCACCTGGCGGGGCAAGTATAGGTCGACTCCACGTCAGTAGCATTAGCGCACACGCACTTGAGCTTTTACCCCTTTCGCACACTCGTTCTTGACGCTGCTTCCAAACAAGAGGATTTTCCCGCGCTCTGATTTCCGAACCAAGTAGAGATCCAAACCAAAGAACCGCCTTGGCCCGACTGGGTCTGCTCTGGAGAAATCGCAGCTGTCATATGCTTGCTGGTTTGGTAACTGCTGCACGTCTCGCATCTGACCGAACCAGCGGAACACTGAAAGCAGCATGTGCGTGAGGTTTTACGTTGGAGATGAAAGAAGAGGGTTTTGGGAGAGGAGAGTGAGGGGGGGGGAGCGAAGGTGGGGGAGGGAAGTGGGGGAGATGAAAGGGTGGGGGGGAAGGGGGAAGCGCAAGGAGACGGAAAGGGGGAAAGCGGGAATTTTGGAAGAGGTGGTGGGACGGATAGAGGGGAGATGAGGAAGTGGGGGGATGAGAGGGTGGGAAAGGGGGGGGAGGGGTGGGGGGGGCTGGGGGGGGACGAGGGAATGTGGAAGAGGGGAGTTAGTGACGGCATAACGTGAAGCAGTGGTTGAGAGGGGGCAGTCACATGCGGCAGGCCTACTGGGGTATGACTTCAGCCCCATAAGGGTTGTTGACTCTCCTTCACTTCTCGTTGAACCCCAATGGCTCATTCTTGACTTCCATTGACTCATCGTTGACTCCCTTTCGCTGACTTCCATCAACTCATCGTTGACTCTCGTTGACTCATGGTTGACTTCGACCATCTCACAGACAGAGCCTTCATCAACCACTTCTCGAGTTCCCAGGCGAGGCGCCCCCCGTTGGCTCTTAATGACTGTCGTTGACTCGCGTTGACTCACAGAGGAAGCCTCCTGGTCGCACGGAGGGCATCTTTATTGATAGCAACCTCTTGCTCCAATGGTTTACAGACGACCAACCTAGCCCCAGATCAACCAGCATGGTTCTGATTGACTTTGTTGACTCTTGTTGACTCCCGTTGACTCTTGTTGACTCACAGAGGAAGTCTCCTGGTCGCACAGCGGGCATCTTCAAGTCGAGAAGCCCCTTGCTCCACGGGTTCACCGAAGACCGACCCGACTCCAGGCCTGGGGGATTCCGGGAGAAGACAGGCGGGGAGAGTAGAGGAATTCGACCTTTGAGTCGACTCAAAAGGTAACTCGGGTTCACGGACGACCGACCCGACTCCAGGCCTATCACCACGACTCGAGGTTGGGGGATTACAGGAAAGAAGAGGCGGGGAGAGTAGAGGAGAGGAGGGGAGATGAGGGGAGGTGACGCGAGCGAGGCGAGGTCGGGTAGAGGTGGTGGGAGAGGAGGGATGAGGGAAGCGGGGCATGGCGCTGACAAGGACTGCTGCAGCCCAGCTGGCAGAAACCTGAAGAAACTTCTGAGCCCTTAAAAGCGACTCAGAGTCTATACAAGGAAGGGCTGCTGCAGCCCAGCTGGCAGAAACCTGAAGAAACTTCTGAGCCCTTAAAAGCGACTCAGAGTCTATACAAGGAAGGGCTGCTGCAGCCCAGCTGGCAGAAACCTGAAGAAACTTCTGAGCCCTTAAAAGCGACTCAGAGTCTATACAAGGAAGGGCTGCTGCAGCCCCAGCTGGCGGAAATCAAGCAAGAATCCTGAGCAATTTCCGACGCCAGCGGATTGAAGAAGTTTCTCCGAATTTTCTTACCAGTGCCTCTGTGACGCCTGATGACCAGGGGAGAACGTGAAGCGCGCCGAGTAGACGGTCGGATTGTCGTAGAGCGGTTTGGAGAAGTACAAGCATTCGCCGATTTGGAAGGCGATGACGGTTCAGCAATGGTCCAGCGACGGTTCGGCGACGCGCGGACGCGAGTTTCATGTCAAGATGGGAGGAGAGGGGGATGTGAGTGGAAGAAGTGAGGGAGTATGAGGGCAAAAACAATGAGAGGGAGGGAGACGAGAGACACGGGGAACAGTTCGAAAGTGGAAGCAGTGAAAAAACGAACGAACAGAGGGATAGTTTATTGAGAGAATTCGCAAGGTTTAGGAGACGGGGGACACAGGAATCAAGCAACCGAGGGTTGATGAATCGAGGAGGTAACAACTGAGAAGCAGAATATTGGCAATTTCTAAATGGTCGCTGGTCGCTAGTTAGAGACAACTCTAACGAAACAGCGGTTGCAGTGCCTTCTACATTTAGATTGTTACCGGCCGTTACAAGGAGCAGAAGCAGGACTGATGAAACAAATAGCTTTCCCGAAGCTGCTCCGTCGCTGCCTTTCCTTGGAAGATTCATCGCGAAGAATGCTTGTGTATTATGAAACCTCTATTGGTTTGGTCCCAGCGCTGTAAACTAGTCGTTTCGTAAAAGCTTTTGATTTGTTTCCGCACCGTAAACGAGGCACGACTTGCAAGGTATGTAAGCTCCGCTTTCTAGCAAAAGGAAAGGGAAAACGAGAGGGGAAGGCGTGATATGGCCTGAATGAAAGCGTTGCTCAATTGCACGTGTATCCAATTGTCGAGCCGAAGTTCTAACTAGCGAAAGATTCACTACTGCCGCCGAACCGTGGGGGACGAAGGTATGGGTGGTCGCTGTAAGCTGGACCAAAACTCTAGCGCTGGCGGGGGAATATCAACATATAATTTTGCCGACAACTTGCGAGGAGGAAATGCTGAACATGTTTCATGGCTTTCGATTTTTTATGTTTGATGGAGGTTGTGGGGCGGCTCGATTTGGCCGAACCGCCTTGGTTTGCCGCTACTCCTCTTTATGTTTGACCGTTGATGCTTCAATACCCTTCCTAATCTCCGCTTTTGTGTGAGCCAACAATGTGTACAAAACCAGGTTCGAAAGAGATGTGCAGATAGGTCATGTAAAGGGGTATAAATAAGTTAAGATGATGCATGGGAGCCTTATTTGGTTGCACATTAATATGAAGCTATCGATTTTTTTTCCTACATGTGTCCAAAAATTGCAAATGCGAATTATGTTTGATAGTATTCGAGAACCTAACCCGCAGTGGGATTCTTAGAAAGCCAAACCAGCGCATAGGTAACGAGGTGTATATTCTTCATAAATTCTGGTGTGATTGCACCGAGGTTGATGCTGGGTAGAAATGTAGGTGCATCCCTTCCATCGCAATCATGCCGTCTCGTTATAACCAGAAATGGAGGTCGGTAGCAGCGGAAATGCCGGTGTGCTTGTGCTGCTTCGACAAGTATCGAGATTCCGACGTTTGTTCGATATCTGACGTAAAGCTAGAATGTTGAAGCATCTCAAACTTGAATGCCGGCAACCAGCCATTTCCGCATTGTTAGGAATGGATAGAATAGCTGTCGCTTCGAGATTCATATCTACGTCTCTCTTTTCCGGAAAATAAGAAAAAAAACCCACACAATATCCGAATGTCAGCATTCGTTTCGTTTGTACAAGCGTTTCGCTCGTTCGCTTAGGCATGAGCTGACTGATACAAGCGACACTGCCAGTGTAGTGTTTCCAGAGTTTCTCATCAGTTGACCATTCGCACATTGCATCCCCAATGGCGTTCTCCTTAACTTCCTCCCTCCACGACCTGAACCTGTACCCTTGTCCTTAGTCGGTATAGGGCATGACTCCTTCTCGTCACACCAACTTCAGGAACATATATTCCTTTTCTTTCATTATTACTATTATTACGCATTCGTTCGTAATTGCCTTCTTCCATTCCCGACGACATATTCCACCATGCCGTCGCCGTCGGCCATTCGGTTCGCGACCCGTCCCTTCCCGGTCTTCTTCCTCCTACCTCTCCTTCTCACCGTCACTACAGCCGCCTCTCACGCCTCGCAACATCGAGTAGATTCCTATAACGGGGGGTGGGAAGGAGAACTAGGGTTACCAGATTCAGGAGGCGTATTGGAGGATGATCCCGTGGTTCAGGCGTCGTCCAGCGGCATGACTCGCGCCGTGTTTCACGGGCGGCGCGCGTTGCTGCAAGCGCCCGCGCCGGCCTCCGAGCCTTCCCTCTCCGAAACCGCGGAGCCCTCCGCCCCTGCTCCCGCATCCTCGGCGCCCTTAGCCCCTGCTTCCGCTCCCGCTTCCGTTCCCCCTTCCGCCTCCCCTACCGCTCCCCCTTCCGCCTCCCCTTCCGCTTCTTCCGCCCCGCCGTCCTCCCCATCCCCTGGGGGAGCCTCAAGCGGGACCCCCCTAACGACCCCCGCGGCCCCCACTCCTCCGTCTGGCGCAGGCGGGGGGAACGGGGGGAATGTGGGGGATGGGGGGGCAACGTTCGACATGCCCGGACCTTTGTGCGAGGGACAGTGCTGCTCCAATGCGGCCCCGGTAATCCCGGACGGGATGCCCACAATGACGTCATCATGGCTCAGCAGCCAGCTGGCGCACGGCGCTAAGGTGTGTGGGGGGGAGAAAGAGGGGAGTGGGTGAATGGGGGAGTGAGGGGAGTGGGTGAATGGGGGAGTGAGGGGAGTGGGTGAATGGGGGAGTGAGGGGAGTGGGTGAGTGGGAAAGGATGTGACTTATGAGAATTCTGGAATGTGACTCTCGTAGAGCCAGCTGGCGCATGGCGCTAAGGTGGGTGGGGAGTGAGGGGAGGGGGGAGGGTGAATGAGGGAGAGAGGGGAGAGGGCGAATGGGGGAGCGCGGGGATAGGGAGAATGGGGGAGAGAGGGTAGATGAGGAATGGGGGAGCAAGGTTAGATTGGGAATGGTTGAGTGAGGGAAGAGGTTGAATGGGGGAGAGAGAAGAGGTTGAATTGAGTGGGAAGAGAGACAAGAGGGTGAATGGGAGATACGAGAGGGTAAATCGAGGAGAGAGACGGAAGGGCAAATGGAGGGTGTGCGAACGTAAGGGAGAAGAGGGTACATGTCCCACATGTGAAGAAGGCGACATGTGGCCTGATTCATTGCCTTGTGGTTCATGTCATGTCGCACATTGGCTGGTCCGCCGTCCGTCGGATTTCCTCACACTCTCCTCTTGGTTGGCTAGTTCGTGTTGGGTTGACTGACTCAAAGACCGGCTTTCCTCTCACACCCTCTTTGTCCCCCTTCTCCCACTGCCCACCTCCCCATCACAATTCTCCCCCCAGATCCTCGCGCTGCTCGCCACCAGGACAGCGGATTCGAGTTTTGAGTCGACTCAAAACTCGCGCTGCTCGCCAGCGGATTCTGGTGGCGGGCAGCATGTGACTCGCCTAACAAGCCCTTCTTCCCATTCCCTCTGTCTTCTCCACTCCCTCTCCCCTCTTCCCACCCCTCCCCTCCACCCCCGCAGATCCACGTGCGCCACCAGGGAAGCGGCTTCTGGTGGCGGGCAGCATGTGACTCGCCTAACAAGCCCTTCTTCTCATTCCCACTGTCTTCTCCACCCCCTCTCCCCTCTTCCCACCCCTCCCCTCCATCCGCCCAGATCCACGTGCGCAACCAGGGAAGCGGCTTCTGGTGGCGAGCAGCGGCTTCTGGAGGCGGGCAGTGTTTGAGTCGAGCCAACAAACCCAGCAGCACAACTCGTTTTTCCATTCTCCCTGTCTCATTCCTCTCCTTCCCCTCAGATCCACGTGCGCCATCAGAGCAGCGGCTTCTGGTGGCGAGCGGCGGACGGGAAGACATGGAATGGCAGTGTGGCGACCAGCAGCGATTTTGACCAGCCAGACGTCTCTCAAGCTCTCACGGTCATTCGCGTCAGCGCCACCACGGTGAGTGTGGGCGTGTGTGTGTGCGTGTATGGGGAGGGATGCGCGAGGGAGCATCGTGGAGTGGCAGTGTGGCGACCAGCAGCGACTTTGACCAGCCGGACGTCTCTCAGGCGCTCTCTGTTATCCGCGTCAGCGCCACCACAGTGTGTATGTGGGCGTGTGCGCGTGCGTGTGTCTGTGTGGGGGACAGAGGGGCATGGGAGGGGAGGAGGATGAAGGAGAGAGCATCGTGGAGTGGCAGTGTGGAGGCCAGCAGCGACTTCTCCCAGCCGGACGTCTCCCAGGCGCTCACTGTCATTCGTGTCAGCGCCACCACGGTGAGTGTGGGCGTGTGTGTGCGTTTGCGTGGGTGTGGGGGGTGAGATGTTGCATGGTGAGAAGGTTGGGATGGAGGGGCAATGTGCCTCAGGCCGCCTGAGTCAGGCGCTCACTGTCATTCGTGTCAGCCTGAGGCACCACGGTGCATGTTGTGTTGTGTTGTGCGGGCGTATGTGCGTTTCTGCATGTGCGCGCGTGTGTATCTGTACTGTGTGTGTCAGTGGGCGTAAGGGGAGGGAAACGGGGCGGCAGTGTGCCTCAGGAACTCGCTGTTATTCGCATCAGCACCACCACTGTGCGCGTGTTGCCTGTGTGCTTTTACTTGGGAGGTTCCTAAAGCATTGTTGTCTGTGCGCGTCGCTTTCCCGTTCTTCCTCCCTCCTCTCCCTCGACTTGCAAGTAGACTCAACAATCAGCTCTTCTCCACTCAATCACTGTTTTCCGCACACTCACCCCCCCCACCCCCCTTCCCCCCGCTCCCTCATCCCGTCACACCCCACCCAGACAAATCCCTTGACGTCTCCCTGACTGAAGTTACGCACTCCTCTATCTGGCACTCCTCTATCTGGCACTCCTCTATCTGGCACTCCTCTATCTGGCACTCCTCTATCTGGCACTCCTCTATCTGGCACTCCTCTATCTGGCACTCCTCTATCTGGCACTCCTCTATCTGGCACTCCTACTCTTCTCCATCGTTCTCCACCCCTTCACAAGTCATGCTGCAGAGCCCCAACACAGCAGCACGTTCCTGTTCAAGGGCCCTCCTGTATTCGAATCTCCTTCTGTCTCTCAGCCCTTTCCTCTGCTCTGCTCTGCTCTGTCTTCTCTCCTCTCCTCTCCTCTCCTCTCCTCTCCTCTCCTCTCCTCTCCTCTCCTCTCCTCTCCTCTCCTCTCCTCTCCTGTCCTCTGCTCTCCTCTCCTCTCCTCCTCCTCTGCTCCTCCTCCCCCTCTCCCAGATCAAGCTACAGACCCCCAACAGCACGTTTCTGTGCAAGGCCCCGCCCTCCCCACCCAACGCATCATACCCGAGAGGGGTGCTCGCCACCACAGCAGACGCCACTGATCCCCTGGCCACCTTCACCATCATCCCCATCCCCAACTCCCGTAGAGACAGCACCTTCTCTGCTGATGCTGTTGCTGCTGGTACTGCTGGTGCTGGTGCTGTTGGTTCAGGCACTGACAGCAGCAATAGCAGCAGCAGCAGCACTGGCAGCACGGGCAGCACAGGCAGCACGGGCAGCACCAGTGGCAGTGATTATCTAGGGTTAATTGCCCTGGCAAGTGCGGACGGGTATTACCTGTCCATGGGGGAGGTGGCTCCTGAGTTTGTTGACGTGGTAACCACGGGCGACCCGGCAGCAGGAGCGGGCGGCGACGAGTGGCTGGATGTGCGCGAGGTGATGACGGTGCCCGCCGTCCGCGGCGTGAATCTGGGCGGCTGGCTGGTGGGCGAGGAGTGGATGAACCCGAGAACGTTCAAGTACATGGCGTGGGGGGATGGCACACGGGTGAGTAGTGAGTGAGCTTATGATGTGTGAGCCGCCTCAGAAACTGTGCATGGCGTGCATGGCGTGGGGGTGAGTTAGTGAGTGGTAGTAGGTTGTCGTTGCTGTAAGGTGAGTAACTTTTGGCTCAGAAGTCACCTTGGCTGGCTGGCTGGTGGGCGAGGAGTGGATGAACCCGAAGGCGTTTCAGTTCATGGCGTGGGGGGGGATGGCACGCGGGTGAGTGAGTGAGTGAGTGAGTGAGCCGGTCTGAGTGGTAAAACGCCTTCAAATTAGTGGAGTTGAGTGATTGACATGGATCCATGAAGTCTGGTTGAACCATCATCTTCCAGCGAATATTCTATCTCCTCTCCTCTCCTCTCCTCTCCTCTCCTCTCCTCTCCTCTCCTCTCCTCTTCTTTCCTCCTCTCCTCTCCTCTCCTCTCCTCTCCTCTCCTCTCCTCTTCTTTCCTCTCCTCTCCTCTCCTCTCCTCTCCTCTCCTCTCCTCTCCTCTCCTCTCCTCAGCCGACCTAACTGCAGTCAACCACCACTGACTAGTACAGCAGTGCGGTCAGCACAGGCATTAAACCCATCTCTCGACTCATTCACCCCCTTTCACTCACTCCCTTTCCATACCCCCCATCTCCCTAGTTTATCCCGCCCCCAGGTCACATTCCAGTCATCCCACCACTGACGTGTGTGTACATCAGAGCTGTCAGCACGGGTGCAGACAGACCCATCTCTCACTGCATTCACACCCTTGCACATCACTCACTCACCCCCATTCTGTTGCCGCTCATCTCCCCCCTGGGTGTCCTCCTGCCCCCAGGTGACATTCCTTCCAGTCCACCGCCACGGACATGTTTATCAGTGCAGCAGTCAGCACGGGCAAGGCAGTGAAACCACATCTCTGTCTGTTCATCCCTGTTTTGAGGCGCCTCAAAACTCGTCTCTGTCTGTTCATCCCTGCCTCCTCATCCCCCCTGTGCGAATCCCGCTCGCAGGTCACATTCCAGTCCACCACCACAGACATGTACATCAGTGCAGTCAGCACGGGCGCAGACGCTAAGGTACATTCTCGGCTTCTAGGGTACGCTTTCGGCTCTTAAGGGGCCACTGTGTTTTTTTACACCTTAATGCCACTATCGGCACGGCTTGTTTTATCGGCTTGACGTTTGAGTCAAACGCCTTGAGTGCACAACTCAAATGCCACCTCAAGGCTGTAATCAGCACAGCTTATACTACCATTCATTTCCATTCTGTTCCTGTTTCATGACATCCCCCTTATCAGCACATAAATTTTTCACCACATCCCGTACCACTCATCTGTCTTGTCTCCCTTCCACAAATCATCCATCCCTCATGTTCTATCCCTCTTCCGTCATCTTCCCTCACCTCCTCATGTCTCCCTCTTCCGCTGTTATTTCATGGTGTGGCATGCTCTTCCCAACCCCTGAACCATCCCCATGCGAGCACCCTTCCCCTCGTTTCGCCAGCTGGAGTGTAACGCGGCAGCGGTAACAGTGTTACAGTACTTCCAGCTCCTCACCGTGCCAGGCGCTGCAGAGAACGTCCGTCAGGTGGGTGGGTGGGCCCTCTGTTGCCTTCAGGTGGGCGCTCTGTTGCCTTCAGGTGGGATCTCTCTTGCCTTCAGGTGGGCGCTCTGTTGCTTTCAGGTAGGCAGTCTTCTTCACTCACGTGGACTCGCTGGTGCTCAGCTCAGGCGTGCTGTTGTTGTTACAGCAGTGATGGTGTGTTTTGAGTCAACTCATGCTTGCTGGTTTCTTTTGAGGCGCTGCAAACGGTTGCAGCGTTTGAGCCTCCTGCTTGGGGGGAGGAAGCACAATTGAGAGGAGAAGAGCAGTGCTACGTTGGAGTCTCCTTTGAGTCAACTCAAAAGCAGTCTTTGAGTCGACTCAAAAACAGTCTCCTTTGAGTCAACTCAAAAGCAGTCTTTGAGTCGACTCAAAAACAGTCTCCTTTGAGTCAACTCAAAAGCAGTCTTTGAGTCGACTCAAAAACAGTCTCCTTTGAGTCAACTCAAGCAGTCTTTGAGTCGACTCAAAAACAGTCTCCTTTGAGTCAACTCAAAAGCAGTCTTTGAGTCGACTCAAAAACAGTCTCCTTTGAGTCAACTCAAAAGCAGTCTTTGAGTCGACTCAAAAACAGTCTCCTTTGAGTCAACTCAAAAGCAGTCTTTGAGTCGACTCAAAAACAGTCTCCTTTGAGTCAACTCAAAAGTAGTCTCCTTTGAGTCAACTCAAAAGCAGTCTCCTGGCGGTTTCGTTCCCGTGTTATCAAGCTTTCCTCTCTCTCTTCTCCCCTCAAGTGTGCTCCCTTCCCCACCCCGCACGCACACCCATCCGCTGCAGGTGGTGGGGCAGATGGGGCAGTACTGGGGCGTGTATACCGGTGCCACCACTGTATGGACCGCAGGGCAGCAGCAATCTCTCCTCTCTCTCCTTTCCTCTCCATTTGTGCTCCCTCCCCTCCAACCCCACTCACGCATGACTGCAGGTGGTGGGGCAGATGGGGCAGTACTGGGGCGTGTATACAGGCGCTACCACCGTGTGGACTAAAGACCACGAGTCGCAGGCCAGCAGCAGTAGCTCATATCCTTTCGATTCTTGTTCCCGCTCTATTCCCCTCACATGCACACATCACAGGTGGTGGGGCAGATGGGGCAGTACTGGGGCGTGTATACAGGCGCTACTACAGTGTGGACGAGGGACAACAAGTCGCAGGGCAGCAGCAACGCCTTCACGCTGCTGCTGCTGGAAGCGCAGCTGACCAGAGACACGCCCATGAATGACTCTCTCAGAGTCATGATCCAGGCGCCCAACGGCCAGCTGCTGCAGGTATGGCTGCTGGAGGTATGGCTGCTGGAGGTATGGCTGCTGCAGGTACGTTCACGTGAACGTGAAGGATGCAACTTAGCTTCACTACCCCATCACCTGTTGTCTGTACAGTTCCCCTCCTGTCCCTCTCGCCCATCACTGCCAAGGTGCCACAACATCCAAGGTTTCAATTTTCACTAGGAGAAACCTTCCATGGGTATGGTATTTTCCGCTCCTTTCCCTTCCCGTCTTTCTCCACCTCTCTCAACCGTTCTATTACCAGGCTCACGAGGATGGCACCGTAACTGCAGTGCCACCAATAAAACTGAGCGTGAGGAACCTTTTCGTCTCTCCCCCATTCCCCCTCGTGTCCTCCCATCCCTCTCCGCCTCCCTCACCCCTCAACCACCAAACTCACGAGGACGGCACCATATCAGCCGTCTACAGTGTTGTAGGTTGTTTTTTAGAATACTCAAAGACAGTCGTTCACAGTGCCAACGCCCCCTTTTCTTTCTTCCCCCTTCCCTCTCTTCCCTTCCTGCCGTCTTGGCCTCCCTCCCTACCCCCCAGGCGCACGAGGACGGCACCTTAATAGCCGACTACAGTGCCAATGCCCCCTTCTCTCTTCCCCCTTCCCCCTCTTCTCCTCACGCCCCCCTTCCTCTTCCCTCTCTCCCACCCAGGCTCACAATGACGGCACCGTAACAGCCGACTATGCGTTGGGGCTGCGTTGGGGCTGCGCTGGGGCTGCGTTGGGGCTGCGCTGGGGCTGCGTTGGGGCTGCGCTGGGGCTGCGTAACGCCGACTACTGTAACAAGCCCCAACGTGTGCGCTGCGTTGAAGGAAACCAGCAATCTATGTGAGGAGAGGACGACTGATCACCTCACCTCTGTCCCCTCCCACCCCTCTCCCCTTCTCTCACCCCACCCAGGCACATGAGTCACCAACGCCACCAACGAATACGAGCGTGGCCCTTTCGTCTCTCTCCCCCAATCCTGCTCGTCTCCTCGCGTCCCTCCCTCCCCCACAGGCGCACGAGGACGGCACTCTAACAGCCGACTACAGCGCCAACGCCACCAATGAAACGCTCTGGTCGGGGCCAGCAGTGTTCTTCATGGATCTGGTGAGGGGCGAAGAGAGGGGCAGAGGGGTGTGGGGTGAGGTAGAGAGTGGCAGAGAGAGGGGGAGCGGGAGAGAGGGGCAGGGTGGGGGCAGAGAGGGGCACCGGCTGTTTTCTGTTTTTTACGACCAGTGCCTGACACTGGCTGTCTTCTCCATGGACTCGATTAGGCTTCTGACCCATCTCATTAATCTTCATCTTCAGTAACCATGAGACAGTGCACAGCACACAACCAATTTTTCCCTTAGAGAACACCACATATGCCACTGCAAACTACACCGTCCTTCACTTCCTCTCCTTCTCGCTCACCCTCTCCCTCTCCCAGGTGAGCACAGTGCATGGTGACTGGCAAGCAGCATACACAGCAGGGCCAGATCAAGCATCGTCCCTCTTTGACTCAGTGCACTCGAAGCTGATCACAGAGCTGGACTGGCAGGACATGAAGACAAGAGGGGTGAACACTGTGCGCATCCCCATCCCCTACTGGATCGCCCAGGAAGACCCTGCCTTTTCCTTCTCCTCCCCTGCTGGTGATACCGGCAGCAACAGCAGTAGCGGTGACGGCTCCAGCAGCAATGATAGTAGCAGCACTTTTGAGACGTCTCAAAGCAGCAATGATAGTAGCAGCACTCCCGCTGCTGCTACTCCAGGAGTGCCAGAGTTTCCCTACCCGCCGGGTGCTCTGGCGCATCTAGACTGGGCGTTTGAAATGGCGGCTAAGTATGGGCTGAGGGTCTGGCTGAGTGTGCATGTGGCTCCTGGGTCGCAGATCGGAGCAGCGTTTTCGAGAGACGGGTTGATCCGATGGTCCGGATTGAACGTGGATCACACGCTCGATTTTGTCCGTTGGGTCGGCGACAGGTTCGGAGGGAACCCAAGCCTGTTTGGCGTGGGGCTGCTGCACGAGCCTGTCGCCCCGTCGTACTATGGAGTATTGGGTGTAGACGGGGATGAGCTGAGGGAATACTACAGAAAAGCACATGATCTTATAAGGGAGCGGTGCGCGTGCTGCTTCATGTCGATCGAGGGCCGTGTGGGGAAGAGCATGTGGGACGTGGCGTTTCACATGCTTGACACGTGGCACCCCAATGTGCTGTATGAAACGCACCTGTATGACGTTCTGGCGGGCGTCCCGGTGGCTACCAGGAAGCTTCCTCAGCTTGTGGAGTTGGAGATTGGAGAGCAGCGGAGCAACAAGCCGATGCTTCTTGACAGCGCGCAGAGTGTGAGTATTGTGGTGGTGTTGGTTGCATTGGGTGTGGTGTGGTGCGGTGCAGTGCGGTGTGATGTGCGTGCAGTGCAGTGCTGGAGATTGCGGAGGAGTGGAGCAACAAGGCGACGATCGTTGAGAGCGCACTGACCGTGAGTGGGTGGTGGTGGTTGCGTTGGGTGTGGCATGGTGTGGTATGGTGTGGTGCGGTGATTACATTGGATATGGTGGTGGCGCATGTGGTGTAAATATTACAAGGTGCATTGAGAATGCTTCTGCTTGTGTTGGGCTTGGTGGTTTTTGGTAGTCTAGTTCATGCATGCAAATGTCTTTCACTGGTTGAAGCCAAACCAATCAGGGCCCAAACTCATGCTTCTGTCTCTTGCTCGCCCATTCCCCTCGGCCCTGTCCTACCTCCCACCACTCCCTCCCGTCATCTATCCTTTCCTTCCTACCCCTTCAACCACACTCTCCCTCTCCTGCTCCCCCCCCCACCTCAACCCTGCAGAGAGGGCGGTCCATTCTGGTGGGCGAGTTTGGGGTGGCGATGGCGAGCATGGGTCCCACAGAGGAGCAGTAGAAGGCATTCACTCTTGCGCAGATGCAGGCACTGGTGCATGCAACTCATGCTCCCGTCTCCCTCTTCCCCGTCCCTTTCCACACCTCCCGCCCACCCCTGTCAACTCTCCTCTCCTCGGCTCCCGATTTCGCTCCCCCTTCCAACCCCACTGTCCACGTTCTCCCACGGTGCAGATAGGGCGGTCCATTCTGGTGGGCGAGTTTGGAGTGGCGATGGCGAGCATGGGCCCCACAGAGGAGCAGCAGAAGGAGTTCACTCTCGCGCAGATGCAGGCGCTGGGGCATGCTCAGGCAGGATGGTTCTTCTGGGCCTGGAAACTCAATGTCACCGGTACGTGGGACGAATCGGGCTGTGGAGTCAGACGCGATGTGGGAACACGATTATACAATGTGCATTTGAATCTGGGCTACCCCTACTGCACTGTTTTTTCTGTTCTTTTTACTTATGTCCAGTTTGTTGTGACACCTCGTTTTCCGGGATTTTTTTCTTTCTTTGTTGTTTTTGCAGGCAAGGCCAAGTGGCAGTTTCCTCTCAGCATGGCCATGGGCTGGTTACCTAAAAAAGATGATGGAAATTGGTATTAACTGAAATGCGTATTAGCATGTGATTTTATGAATAAGCATACCTGTCTATTATACAGTAGTTGGGATTCCTATAAGTTTTTGTTTCGATGAGAGATTACCCCTAAAGCGTAAACTAACATCAACAGTAGGACTGGGGATTCCTGTTAGTATGCAAAATAATTACACAATTCTGTATTGTCACTTCCGTTTCAATAATAGATCCTACCTTTCTGCGAAAACATGTGGGTCGCCCCCCTACGATGTGCTTTGCTTTGGTGCTGTTTGTAGGCCGACACCAAGATGCTTCATTGCCTGTTGTCACCATAGGCTCCAATTGTGGCTGTAGTATCCTCGTTAGGGTGGTTAAGGGTATTGTTCCGTAAGTGTGGCGTTTTAAGTAGCTACTTGCTCACAATTTTTCTAAGCCGAGTTTTCGAGAAACACCACCTTCACAAGTGAGGTTGGTGCAAAGTATAATCACATTCCTTGCTCGTGCCGGGTTGACTCATTGTTGAGCAGGGACTTGAGAATGTGTGGCTGAATGCCTCGCTCATTTCGCGTACGAATTTCAGCAGATTTAACACCAGCTAAAGTTTCCTTGAATATAGTTCTCCCCATTTCTTTCGAGAGGTGGTTGCGAATCTGTCTGGGTTGGTCGGGTTTGCACCAAATGCGGCGTGGGTGGCTGCAAATGCTGGCATCGCTTTGAATGCCAAATCTATTCCAGCCAGGACAGCCTGGTTTGACTCAGGGAGTGTTCCCACTGTTTGAACGACAAGTTAGTTTGACCACGCGACTCGCAAATCTCCAATGTTGTAAATTTGAATGGTTGCGGCTCCAGGTCTGGACAGCTTTCTGAAAACAGTCTGGGTCGTAAGATCCATTCTGGTTACCCAATCGAACAATGGACGCCCACGACCACAAACCACGGTGTGACGGCACTCGACGGGCACGGTACGAATCACTTTTGGGGCGAAAGTGTTTCAAAAATCGAGTAGAAACACTTTCAACGTGCAGAGACAAGAGTAAACTCTACGCTCGAACAAACATAACTACTTGCGAGAATACACCTGAAATTTCATAACGGAAGTCGCTACGGTTGGCGAAGTATAATTTTGCTTTGTGATTGGAGGCGAGACTGTTGCCGAATAAAACACCGTGGTATCCGAAGCATCCAGAAGTGGCCTAGTCAGTAGAAAGAGGCACTTCCGATAGATGAGGTCCTGGGATCGAACCAGGGCTGTCGATTGGTTCCAGGCCAACACTTGAGAGTCTCAGGTTCCCCCATTTCTACCCTGAAATTTCCGGAAAGTGCCCTTTTCCGAGCCTTTAAGCCCTCAACTAAAAACTTGAATTCAAGGCTACACTACAACATTCAGGGAAAACCATATATAACGGATGGAGGAAAGCTGGCTGGGCGAGGCGTTGGGTCCATGAGAGTGGGCCCAACGGGGAGCGTGGTGGGGGGGAGCGGCGCAATTGGTCAGCCAGTCAATAACATCTGACTTGGCGGCAAAATGGATGGGATGGGATGGGATGGGATGGGATGGGAGGGGAGGAGGGGGGGGGGGGGGAATCAAGAGCTGTGGAAGTTTCCGAGTAAGGCCCTAAACTTTCACGGGGAATCAGGGAAACCCCTCAAGTGCTCCGTGTAAGAATCAGGGGAAGGCCCAGCCCACGCCCGTTATGATTCAGGGCTGTAAAAAAAATCAACCCTGAGAATTCGGACCCTGGAGCAAAGTCAGACCTTAATGTTCAGGGCATTAAGGCCATATGGCCTTGAATCGACAGCCCTGGATCGAACCCACCCCGTGCAGGCGTGTTCTGCCACGTGGTGTCCGAAGCGGGGACAAACCACACCGCAGACACCACGCCTCAACCCACACCGCGTGGGCAAACGTTCTTCTGGTCCAAACCGTGGGAACGCCATCCCACAACAACGATGGTTTCCATGTTGCGTCTGGCGCGACGTCGTCACAACCAATGAACGAACGCTTCCCAATTGGCCCTCAGATTTTTCGCCACAATCCTTCGCCACAATGTTCTCCCACATTGATTCCACAGATCCTATCGTAAAAACGTCTCGTCAACCACAGTACTTCGCCACAGCCCTTCGAAATCCATCGCCACAATTATTGTCGCCTCACCCCCAACCACCTCCCCGATCACGGCGCCGCTGACTCTCCCACCCTTCGTTATCTGCTTGGAACGTGTGTTGTGTACTCATCTCAACTCAACCAGCTGTCTATTGACGGTATAAAGCCTCGCTCTCCCATGTTTCTCATTCGCAGTTTCTGAGTCGCTCCTCGACGTCCTCTTCGCGCTTATCTAGGTTAATCAGTGACATATCTCTCACCTTCAATCGTGGTGCTTTCGCGACTCGATATTATGGGCAAATTTCATGCTCAAAATGCGGCGGCAGGACGGTTACAGGTGATGCTGCGGCTGCTTCTGATCGCCACGGCGTTGTTTATCCCGCAGCTTCAAACTGCGGAGGCGGCGTGCAGTAAGGTGCGGAACGTGCTCGTCGTCGGCGCGGGCATCTCGGGGGTCTCCGCGGCGCGACACATCGCCGTCACCAACGGCGAGTGCTTCAAGGTGCGCCAGAGACGCTTGTTCATCTTCGATTTCAAAATAATATTCCGCTTCGTCACCAGCTGCAGGGGCTTAAAGGGGCGCCGAGGATTTTGCCTAAAAATGGCTGTTGATGAGTTCAAAAATCGGCCGTCGCGCCGGACAGCGTTTTTGTATCCGAAGTGAAGCTTCCGCCGGGTGAGCGTCCCGTGCGTCCGTCGACGCTGAAGCCCGCTCGGAGTTATCAAAAGTTTTGGCCGAGTCGTCGATAATCGACGCGAATGCGGCCGCCACGAGTGCCGCTGACAGAAAGCAGCGCTTTAAGGCGCGCCACTCTGTTCCGCACGAA